CTTTTTACAATTTTGTTTACGTGAATCACTGATTTGAACAAACAAACGTGTTTACTCAAAGTACTGTGAGGGTGACCGATGCCTATAGGGTGTTGGAATAGTGGAAGCTGTAATTTGGAATGGAACGCCTTAATATAAAGTAGGAATACCCGCTAAGTTTGCATGTACTCAACATCTAGGGCTTTTTGTGACGGCTAATGGGAAAAATGACACGATATTACGGAAAGGCGAAACATTGTGGGTAACCTACTGTTACGCTCAATGCCCTACGAGTGCAGACCAGTAAAACATTTACTTTATGTTGTCTTTTTTTTCTCCCTTATAATATAGACAGTGTTTTAGGCCTCTGCACTTGAGGGTTTGTAGAAACAGAGGTTCTCGGCTCTAAACCGGTCTTTGAACTTGTTGTTCTGAGACGTTTGGAGAAATATTTTACCCCATAGCTTTTTTTTTTGGGGGGGGGGCCTTTGGAGTGAGAGGAAGATTTTGGACAATGGTTTTGGGATTAAGGAATTCTTTTAAGAGTGAACATAGGGAAAAATCACCAAAAATGTCAGCGTTAACTTGCCCAAGAGAACACCCTGCTGACCAGTGATATGCACTCTGTTACAGTTCTGAAGTAGTTCGATTATCATTAGGCAAGAAGATACTGAGAGCCACTAGAGGTCAAAGGTCATGTTGTATATCGCCACAAAGATGTTAGATTTTGAAGGGGACATTTCACCGCCTCCCCCCCCCCCCCTCGACCTCTATATGATTTTGATTAAAATGTTTTACTTGGCCTACATATGCCAATACATGTTCTTTCTCTGCAACCTCCTTTCCACCCCACCTCCTTGGGGCATTCAGTACAAATTCGCAGAATTGCTAGATCCCTTTTGATCAAGAAATTGGACTTACAGCAAAACGAACTGGTCCCCCACTCCCCCCGCTTGTTTCGTTCACGGCTATAGCTGCATAACAAAGTTATTATATAATATCGACCATAGCGGTAGCCCGCTAGTCAAAATGCGAGTAAAACAGCGGCGGGCTAGTCAAAACCATTCTCCAAGTAGCCCGTCTAGCGAGGCAAAGTTTAAAAGTGAGATACGGCATGAAACTTTTCCGAGTATACGCGGATTTCCTAGCCTTGATTGCAAGGTTGTGTAAGTGTTGTATATCGTATCAGCGTGCGATCATCGCTGGCCGTGCATAGCATACCCGTACCATACCCAGAGTACCGCCCAGCCTACAACTCTGGTGCTGTTTTTTTTTCTTTTCGTATTGGGGACATGCCAAGAATTAAAGGGGTGCACTGGGACCCCCGTAGCCAACAGACTACAGGGTGAGTAAAAAAAAATAACGAAACCCAAATGTCGGGACCATAATTTAATTAAGTTCTGCATGTAGCACTTTCAAATTCTAGGATATGAAAGCCCGATTCATAAGCTTTCTTTAAGTACAAGAATCATTCGAAACACTCATGTACTTTAACTTTCAAGTTACGGAATTTTGAACACAACCGCTGTTTTAAGGTTGACTACTTTCGGGGTGATTATCTTTCTTTTGATGGATTTTTCTCCCAAAAATCATGGGACAATGGAACCAAAATTTTACCAAAAATGAAAGATTATCAACAAAGCTTTAATTTGATAGGTGTTTCAAACACCTAGAAGACTTGACAGTAATTTTAATAAGTTTCGGAAGTAAGCGATATTATTTATCAGGTCCATTAGAGTCGATTTGCAGTTCTGCAACCTTTGGGTGAAGACCAGCAAATCAACTCCCACATTACGGAAAGCCGAATAACTGTTCAAAGGAACTCGGGTTTGTTTTTTGTAACATTAACCTAGGGCAGATTAGTCCGAGTATCACACGTTATGCACTGGGAGCCCTGTTTGTGGTCCAGCGTCTGATATATCTAAGCTTGCAAATTTACGCAACCCCGCATACCAGCCAATCGGAGTCAACTTTTCTTAAATCGTGACGTCGTTTTACATTCTAAAATCTACACTAAGTCCTTAATCGGTCAGTTCGGATACTGCTTTTTTTGTAATACAACGGCCGGGCATGGAGATATATTAAACCTAGACACGACATTTTGCTCAAAGCTTTGTGCATGGCGTAACATTATCGTTACAGAGCGCGTGCCTTTGTTAGTTCAATTTACAAGGTAATATAGTAATATATGTCGTGTGTAGGTTTTATTTATACAGGGTGAGAAAAACAAAACGAAACCCAAATGTCGGCACTATTGCTTTTATTGAAGTTCTGCATGTATCCCTTTCAAAATCTAGTATATGAAAGCCTAATTCGTAAGCTTTTTTTTAGTTTAGGAATCATTCAATTCAGTCAGGTACTTTTTAAGTTACGGAAATTTAAACACAACCACCGTTTTAAAGATCTGTCCAAGGATAAAAAAAAGGTTTTTTTTTTTTTTTTTTCAACAAAACAAAAGCAATTCACACACATCCCTATGTGATTTCTTTTCGTTTTGCTGATAGAACACTTGCCTTCTTGTGATCCGTTGACAGAACCTTAAAATGCTGGTTGTGTTTAAAATTCCGTAACTTGAAAAGTACTGTACTAAAGGAATGCTAATGAATATGGCTTTCATACCCTAGATTTTAAAAATGCTACATGCAGAACTTCAATAAAACAATGGTCTCAACATTTGGGTTTCGTTTTTTTTTTACTCACCCTGTATAAATCCAGGGCGCGAAAAAGGATATATAAAACCGAAGACCCGATATAGAAGGCGCCCGCTGATTGATCATAGTCTCGAGGTCAAGACGCAGCCATTTTTCTGCATAAATAATCGCCGAATCTGCTCGCATTTCTGCTTCGCAAGGGTATATTACATAGACTTAGGATATATTAGCCCATTTAACATATCGAATAATGTTGTTATAATAATAAGGATCATGCAAACAACTTTTCTATGCTGAAATATATTTTAATACGTAAATGACTTGAAATTACGAAATCAAACATACCCTTAATTCCATCGAAACCCAATATTTTAAACTGATACAAAACTATCATTAGAAAAAAAAGTGTAAATACAAAAATAAACTAAAGATTACATTTAGGAAGATACAAAATATGTATTTCATTTTTTTAGGGTTCCACTAAAATGATAACATGCTGCTGAAAATAATGTTTATATACAAATCGGTATCTTTGATTTGTGACAGACTGACATGCCGTCATCATGACGACATCAAATGGCAACTTTACAACACAGCTACTTCTGTACACATTAACACATAAAAATATGTTGGCCTTTTCATTAAATGTGTTCATGTGCATAGAAATATCCACATTAAAAAATACTTCATTCCAAGTGCTATAAGTGCTATTTTTAGACACAAGTAGCAGAAACAGTCCAGTGCTGTGGTGATCACATAAATGTTCCAGCTGCATATACACAATACAAAAATATACTTTAAATTCCCTTCAAACCCCAAATTATATTTAAAATTGAAAGAAAACTACAACTTCAACTATAAAACACCATACAAATATAAAAACAGTTAAATTTAGGAAGACCAAGCTAGATATATATTTTTTTCTTTTTATTTAATTAGGCCTCAATAAAGTCATAAATGCTGTTAAAACTACATGTAGGTTTCATTAAAAATCGTTTTCTGTAATTGTTCACTGACTGACATCAAGTGAAATGATGCTGTATAAAATCTTCCGTATGAAACATGAGTACAGGGCCCTTTGACTGTCACCTATGGTCTGTCACCTATGGATGAAACATGACGGTGTTAATTTTGTTTTATTTTACCACGGTAGCCCCGCCAGATATCAAAGAACTGTTTTCCCTTGGAAGGCCTGGGGTGTATTTGTTCTCATGTATGTCATTAAAGGCATTACTTTGAGTATTGAAATACATTTTACACAAACGTTTATAATATTTCTGTGCATTAATAAAATACAACCGATGGTCATTCAAAACTCTGTCACGTGCAGCTCAGGTGTCAACGAGTGTACACACTGCTCCGAATGTTCAAGATTTGACAGAACAGAACCGAGTGTTGGCTTCAAATACTGTACACAAGGGCAGATCGGGGGTTGCCCCCCCCCCCCCCAAAAAAAATCCCAAACTACCAACAAACAAACAAACATACAAACCCAATTGTTTAAGTGATCTCGCAATAAAGGCAGGAACTGCGTACACCACCATCTTTTCCTCAAAATGATTTGGCTAGAGGCTCAGAAATTGCTTCAGATCGCACCACAGAGTATCTCGAATCCCCCCCCCCCCGAAAAAAGAAACACGCCGTAATTTCTGAGACACACTTTTTGGAGGACAAATTTGTTCCCCCCCCCCCCCATAAAAAAGTTTGGTTCTAGATCCGCCCTTGACTGTACACTTCCTTAACACATAGTACCTTCATTTTTCCATCCTCTCACAATATACTTATACAATTTAAAAAAATAATAATAATAATAGATTTCAAAATATTATCACAAATAGCTGATCAAACTACAAAGCAGTATATAACAGCCTAAGCATTTTTTTTATTCAAAAATGAAAGACATTAATATGGTTTGATTACATCACATAAAACCGACCTCATATCCCTATTACAGATTAAATACACCAAATGAATAAACAAAGAAAGTGAAAAGAAGTTACTTGACCAATCAATTAACTGTTCCATCCAAGACTGTGTAGAATTTCAATAGGTTACCACAAATGAGGATTATATGTAAAAGTGTTTGAGGTGATTCATAACAAGACAGTTGAGAAGTACGAGATCAAATTAATCAATAATTATCTGCTTCACTTTACAATTATGATGTTGGTGGTTGGCTGAAGACAACCATGACTTATCTAGAAAGTTTTTGGCAAATTAGTAAATGACTCCTTCTGGTAGTGTTTGGCGTAGAAAAATTAGCATCATTGCAGGGGTCAAACACAAAGGAGCTTTACTGGATCCAAAACCATGTGCAACTGAGTTAAAATAAGAGGTTACTTTTGCACATGCATGTTTTGCTTTGTCTTCTCCTAAAAAAAGCTCAAATCAAGAATAGGGGAGAGAGACACACAGTACCAAATCGGATAAATCCTCTACATGAAATTGGATAACTGTGGAACTGGTTATCATGGTCAAGTTGCAATCCTTCGCTCAGTCGTTCAGTCTACTATACATTTTTCCATCCGCTCACTAATAAAATACAATACCAAACAGATTATAAAATGGTGTAACTAACAGCTGATCAAAATACAAAGCAGCATATAACTTGTTAAAACAGCCTAAAAACTGTTTTATGTTTAAAAATGAAAGACATACATTTATTTACCTCGTACCCATATTATGGATTAAATACACCAATGAATAAACAAAGAACTAAAATAACAGCTGCTTTACCAAAATCACTGAACAGTTCCATCCAAGACTGTGTAGAAGTTCAGTGGGTTACCCACAAAAAAATATGAAATACATGTACAGTAGTGTATGAGGCTGGGCCATAATAATAAGGGTGCTGAGAAGTTTCAGATCATATTAACACAATGTATTTTATCTCCATATAATTAGTGATGAAGCCAACCACAAAGTATTGAATGTGCAGTTTTATTTAACATCAATGAATGCCCCCCTCTGGTGGGGATGAGTGTACGAAATTAAAATCATGAAAGTAGGGGTATAAAACAAACATGCTTCGCTGGATTCAAAACAAGTTTCAACTGAGATAGTTTTTTAAGAGGTTAGTTTTGAAAATGGGTGTTTGCTTTGTCTTCTCCTACAAGAACCAAGAAAACACCTCAAATCAAGAATAAGATGGGGAGAGACACGGTACCAAATTGGGTGAATGCAGTATGTGTGAGGATTCATTCTACACTAGAATATGGATAACTGTGGAACTGGTAATCATGGTAAAGCTGCAATCCTCCGCTTAGTCGTTCAGTCTTATCTCATGGGCATTACTTGTCGCAGAGTTGCATTTGCAGCAATGGAAGCTGTGGCCAATGACGAGGTTTAGTAGTAGAGGGCGGGATTGTACACCACGCGGCCTGCAACATCCCCTCCATCACGCTGTGAAATAAAACACCAAATACATTTTACAAGTCTCGAAAAAAAGTCGTGTTAAAGAAATGTACACCGAGGGTAGAACATTTAATATCTCAAACTTAAAAATGTGAATGCTTCGATCCTGAAAACTTACCGCTTCGTTTTCTCGGTAACGTTCAAATGCCTCGTTGCCAGTCACCATGTATGGTCGGATGAAGTCTGGGCGATTCTGCATAGACTGTGTGTCATATAAAAATAAAACTTAAATCAGAAAGTTACACATAACATCTTAAATAATACATGGGTACACATCCAAATATAGTATAATGATCGTGATCATGCCTATGCAAGACACTGTCTGTTTGTATCAGGATCCATTTACCGTGCCCCTAAGCACATGATTCTTGCTTTTAGGAGGCATCAAGCCCCATGTAAAATGACAGTGGCTGAACTCTACTTTCCAGAATCCAACAGAATCCCATCAAAGCCTCATAGAGGATTTGGAAAGATCTGAAAGGCTAGGGCTATAACTCCAGCAACTTGACAGGATCTCTCTTTATAAACCTCCCTTAGAGAAGAATCTCTCTCATAGGCTATAAACCTGTCTTACCTGTAGGTAAGGTGACTGGCTCATGACATGAGCGAGACGATTCATCCTCCTTTCTTCCTCCCTGTAGTCAGCTACACTGTAGCTTTCGTCAGAGGACAGACTGCGATCTCTGCGATCTTCAAAGTCGAAGGGTTCTCTACTTGCTTGGAACTGTCTACCTGACTGATGGTAGATTTGACTCTTAATTTGGTATTGACGCCTCATCAGCATGCAACAACACATGACTATTCCTGCTATGGCCAGCAGGAGAACAACACATCCGACTATGATGAGAACTGTAGCTAGAGGCGACACATCACCACCTGCAACAGCGCAAACAGTACATCATTTAAAACATACCTGGTTTTGTTTTCCCGAAAAAAACCTTCAGATTTTGAAAAAAAAACAGGTAAACACAAACTGATTTACCTTTTTTTGATTTTTTTGGTGGCAAACTATTTGTATTACATCATTACATGTTATTGCATAATAATCCGAGGTCTGTTTATCAGAAATAAAACTCAATGTTTGGAGCTGACTCTTTTAAATGAGAACAAACAAAAACAAGTTGTTGTGAGATTAATATCTGAACCAAGGGTGTACAAATGTTGCAACAGGTAGCGCTGTAAAACTAGCCCTTGTCAAACAAAACAATTGTTTTCGGTCTTGGGTGCGAAAATGATTGGAATTGGATGTACCTGGTGGTGACGTGGTTACAACTTGAGTCTCACAACGCTCTCCAGTAAATGATGCAGGACAACTACAAAACACATAAAGACAATATTCTTACGTTGTATAGCCTACGTGTACATAATTTTCTCAACACGCATTTGAACTCAACCATTATCAAAAATTCAATGAAATGAAATTTTCCTAGCAGGCACTGAGATCCTTTCCAGAGTTTATTTCTCATTCTTGATGCATGTCCTGTCATAATGGCAAGAAATTGGGGTCAGGAGAGAAGGACTTGCATGATCTTCACTGCACGACAAAATCAAGGATGTACATGTGACACTTGGATTCAGATAATGGTCCGTCTCAATACATTTCCGGGAAGAGTTTCGGACAAGTTGCGGACATTGCATCGGGTATTAGTTGCAGGATTCCGAATAATTTCCCCGCAATCTTCCCGCAATGAGACTAGTGAGCCAAGCTATCTCCCCAGAACAAGTCCAGGACAAATGCAGACCTTCAGTCGGACAAAGTCATTGATTCTACCCAAAATTTGTCTGAATTTGTCCCAGATATGTATCGAGACGGGCTCTAACTCTCTGCGCTCAACGATCTGGGTTCAAATAGGCTCAATCGATACCAGAATGTTCAGTTACTAATAAATCAACCAACTATCAGCATACATAAATAAGTTCACGTATTCCAGGCACAAATGTACAAGCATGTATAGAGCTGATGCTTAAAGTTTTAAAACCATCACCATCGTCGAGTTTTCCCCCTGATAAATAAACAAATTACGCACATTGTCCACTTCAGACTTTTCGTCACCATTCCATTAATTAATTAGGCAATTTCGTGATCAAAGAATTAAGGCACTTGTTTGCCGTTCTGTCATGTTCTATTTTTTTATGATCAATATACTCCCACTCCTTTCACACTATTCTATAGTTCCGCCCTGACTTTACCTGCAAGTTAGCTGAGGGGAGAATCCTGACCTCTCGCATGTTCCGCCATTCATACAATCTCCCTGCATGCAATTCGATGGCATGGCTGATAACAAAACAAAGCTGATCAAAAAACGTGTAAATGTATCTGTATGCATACATTATCCACTTATTGGTTTGTGTTTCAATAAACCATATTGACATCGTCTTCAATAGTTCACTGCTATACTGAGCACTTTGTGCTTAGATGTTGCAGGGACTGCCTTTTTAATTCAGCAAGTTTCCGTGTCAATCACTTACGCGTATTTTTTGTAACAACTGACACAAACGTTTACTGGTACTGTACATGTACATGCACTGCTCTTTCCGTTTACCGAGAGATACTTCTGTCAACAACATAGTTTGTAGTTAGCTTTGACTTTAATATAAAAACAAATCTGGAATCGGTTTCTTATCCAAATTTTCCCTTAGTTCATTGGGGCTTGTGTAACAAATGCTCCGCCGTTTTTACTCCTTGACTTATTCAAAACCAATACTAGGACTGGGGCAGTACAGGGGGAACAGGTAGGTTGGTTTGATGCACCAGGAACAAATGCATTGGCAAGACTTACATGTGTTACTGACAGAGTTCGGGACAAGCGGAATGTTTCCCGACCCATCGTTAAGTGTGTCACCCGCTCCTATCACATTGCTGATAACATTCGTCGATGGTGGTTGCCCTTGGAATGCTATTGCCGTGAGTGCAACCACACTGCCTTCTTTGAAGCTCAGAACTTGTACCGCAATCACATTGCTGGTGGAAGTATCTCCCCGCAGTTTGTTCATGATCTGGAAAGTGAAGGCCGAAAAAGGGTGCCAAAACAAAAAGGTTTCTCCCAAGCTAATGCAGACGTAGTGTGAAATTCCGACTCATGGACTCGCTATTGCGCATGTATTGCGCATGCCTCAGTGTGAGGGTAAGAGTCCATTATAAGGTGCAAGAAACCAGATTTCATAAGAGTGCTATTTCATATGACACCGGCACACATTAACACTCCTAATGTTAAATACCTGGTTTTCATCAATCAATGTGTGCCAATTGTGAGGCAATTACTTTATTACCTCCGCCAAGGAGGATAAGTTTTCATCTGGTTTTGTTGGTTGGTTGGTTTCTCTTCTAACAAGATAACTAAAAAAGGTCCTTGGTACAAGTATAAATCGATTTACATTTGAAGGTTATCCGGATCTGGATCTGAATCCATTTTTATAAGGACTCTTCACCATTTATGTGGTTGTTTCTTGTACTAACAATATGGCGGGGAATTGTATAGCCTTGGTAGAGGTTTGTTTGCGCTCTCTAAGAGCTTTTTAGTTTTAATTTGTGTTTATTAGTTTATTTTGAAAACATAAAACAGTGCAAGCGCAATGTGCTAAAAATACTTCAATAAATGAATGCAACAAGAAGTAGTTTATTACCGCTGCATTAAGCCTCGTGGCAAGTTGTTTCCATGCAGAGGATGATGGGTTACCGTAGGCACTGACGAAAAGCAAATCTATTTCTATGAAAAAGTAGAGTGTCTCGCGTTCTGAAAAAAAACAACAACAGGTGTTTCAAATTAAATTTAGTATTTTACGTCTTGAACAAAATCTTAGAGCAACGCTTTTTACAAGTCTGTTGGGGAAAAAGAAATACATCAATATACATTGAGCTAAAGATGTTGTTATAGTTGTACTTCTAGTAGCGGAATCATAAGATAAGTGATTCTGACTAGACAGGTCCCAAGGCTCGAGTTCTAACTTCACTCCATTTCAAAAGCTAATTGTGAGACCCAGACTTACGTGTACATGAACCATTATTGTTAGTGAAGAATCCTTCATAACCGTTGCATTGGCATGTGTAGCCGGCAGCGTTGGTAGCCGGTTGACAAAATGTTGCACTCTCTGAGCATGAAGGGTTGCCGGACGAACACGGACTGGCAGCTGAAAAATAATGCAATGGACGATGGTATATTGTTCAAGTTGATCTTATTTTGATGTTAATACATGTACGGGTCGTACTGCTTTAGTATACAATTTATAGGGTTTGAACATACAGTTAAACATCCTGTAGCAGTTTACATAACATGTGTTCTCGTCGACTGATTGAAACGTATATGAGGTGAAGAGAGACAACCAAGAAAAACTGACTTAAGCATTTTATTAATAAGTAAATATATCCTTGAAACATTGGTGCACATCATCCCCGTTTGTTTATGTCTAAATGAAGGATTTGCTATTGTTCCTTTTCCCTTCCTTTTGATTATACTGAGCAGCTCTCATTAGTTTTGTACACGTTTTCTAATCAAGGTCGACCTCGATTTGGTTTCTGTCCTCAATTCATCGATGATGTTGCACGTGTGTGTCCTCAATTAGCACCATAAATCTATTCAGCTTCCAAGTTGTCATTAACGAATAGGTTTTTTCCACTACAGAATCAATGTATCTCTGTTACTATTGACCTTCAGTTTCATCATTTCATCGCAGAAAAGGATAAAAATCTTAAGGACATATGTACTTCTCTTTAAAATATCCTTTTTGTTGCAATGCAATTGATGGAATAGAAAGTCAATGGTAACAAAGATACATGCATTCCAGTAGAAAAAAATATCATGCCATTTTGAGTATAAGAAGCGAATAACTATGAACCAGTATCTAAATAATTATCTAATTAAACTGAGTAAACAAGTTATAGCTTTAGGAGCACTGTGAACATGACAAAATCTATCAGTTGCCAAATCTTACCCGAACAAGTTGGTCCTGAAAAATCATACGGACAAAGACACTCGCAGAAGTTTGCATCAAATTCACCTCCATTCGTGCAACTTGATGCAGACAGCTGGCAATCTGATACAAACAAAACACAAACACAGAGACCATGAGCCATATAATAGTCTAATGTACAATGTATACTATGACAGAGGACCTGCATGAATCATGCTCCAAGTGGCGATTGCTAGCAACATGAAATATGTTGCACACCTCCATTTATGGCTTATGAAAATGTCCAATTGACGACTTGGGAGACTGCTAACACAAACATGGTTGAGAGATTAATACTTTTATACTGTGTGAACAGTATTTCTATCTTCGTTCGGTTCAATATAAATATCAGGGTTTGCTTTATTTCTTCGTTATTTTTATTAGAAAAACCTACCTCCCTCCGTGGTTGGTGTCTCTGTTGTCAAGTCTGATGGTGTCGAAGGCACTTCAGTTTCGCACCGCTCACCAGCGAACGATGCAGGGCAACTACAAGAAACAGACAGATTACATCCCACTGATGCTTAACATATTATATCTATAGTTCTTAACAATGATTCTGAAGGTTTGGGCTAAGAAAACCTTCAATGAATCAATGATTATCTACAATTTATTTCACAATTGCGTCAGTAAGCCTTCCTTACCAGCCTTTGTTATTCTTGATGTACGTCTTGTGCATAGTGTAAAGAAAGTGGGACCACTAATGGAGGAATTTATCCTTCACTGCTTTATGATTAAATCCAGGATGCAATAAGCAGTGCTGTAGCCGTCAGGACTGGTCTTCGATTTGAGACCAGTCTCGAGACCAGTTCGAACGTGTTCTTGGTCTCGATCTCTCATCACTGATGAGTGATATTGATTCAAATAACTATCTGTATACGGCTATAATAATAGCTCACGTAGTCTTTGTTAATACCAGAATTCGATTAACACTATATCGACTAACTGGTATAATGTACAATCAATATATCAAAGGCAATCAATATATCAAACATCATTTCAAACACACGTTGTAAGTTCTCGCCAGGGACATAAGTACATAATATGTACCGGGTTGATGCATGACACTTGAAAGACACCTTCCCTCGAAAAAAAAAACAGCTAGAGGTTATATACCCAATATTTATTTCAGTTTGGGACTTTTCATCATCATTATGATTTATAATTACTCAACCGGGCGATACATTCCAAACATAATTGATTCAGGCAGCTTTATGTCTCTTTGTAATGTGCTGCTTCTTATGGCTATATACTCCCACTCCTTTCGCACAATCCTGGCCCGCCCCATAAATTACCTGCAAGTTGGCTGAGGGGAGAATCCTGAACTCTGGCACGTTCCGCCATTCATGCAAACATCTTGTGTACAGTCTGTCAACAATGCTGATAACAAAACCAATTATAAAAAAGGTCACTGGGATTCCATTGTTTGATGAATTATTCACTTTGGAGGTTTTCATGTTTCTGACGTACTGACAGCGTTGCCAAGGTGATTAATAAAAAAAGGAACCAAAATGTCGGGACCAATCTTTTAGTAAAGTTATGCATGTAGCACGTTTAAAATCCGGAATATGAAAACCCAATTCATCAGCTTTCTTTTAGTCCAAGAATCATTTAAATCACACAACTTTTATCACAGCCACCGTTCTTTCCATGGATCACAAAAGGTGTGCGTTCTTTCAGCAAAACGAAGGCAATTCACACACACGTCTATGTAATTTGATTTTGTTTTGCTGAAACAACACTTACTGGGTGAAACAGGCAAGTTGGTTTTAGGTGTTAAAGGAACTAATATAACACAACCTTACATGTGTTTATGTAACTGACAGAGTTCGGGACAAGAGCTATGTCTTCCACACCATCGTTCAGTACATCATTCGCTGCTATCACATTGCTGATGACATCCACGGAGGGTGGTTGCCCTTGAAATGCTAGTGCCGTCTCGGCAACCACACTGCCTGCGCGGAAGCTCAAAACAGCTACCGCAACCACACGGTTGGTGGAACTACTTCCCCGCAGTTTGTTAAGAATCTGAAAAAAGGAGACAGTATATGTTCAGATAGTAAAGATAAGAGGTTAGTTCTTCTTCTTAATGCAAATGTAAAAGTCACCTGCGACATAAAGGCAATTTGCCACAGGAATCTGCAAAGGGAACACATTTCAGTGGATATTTCATTATGATGGATGGATTCAGTTTACATGAATCCATCATACCTGCGATTTCTAAGACAGGAACAACACCTGGGTACCAAATACCCAACAGAATTAAGATGCAAGATATTAAAACGGTTCCACATTTTCTGAAAACCTTCGTTGCACAAACAAACATAACTTTTCTTATACAGAGACAGTCAACTTAAAGGGAACATGTAATTAAAGGGAAAATACAACATTTGCAAACATCAAAAAATAAAAATACCAAATCATTTTGTAATACCTTGCTGGACTGTTAGTGAATGACAATGTAAAGCATCCTGTAAAATCATGGCACCTGGTATACTGTCATTTTCAAGAAAAGTGGTATTTTTGTATCAATTTCCAACGCTGATCGGCCGATCAGCGTTGGAAAAAACTGGCTTTTTTTTCAAAAACTGGCCCCAATTGACCATCGCACTTGTTTGCAATCGATTACAAACCTATGAACGGGTACGAGCCAGCTAGACTGGTTCCCTGACCTTACAATTCCCCAATGTATGTAAACTGCTCTGTTTCTTCTTATATGGAGTCAGGGAACCAGACTACAGGAAAATGATTGTTTTTCGTGGTTTTTATAGCATTTTCGAACCAAAAACCTCAAAAAATCAGTGTAACTATATTTGCTATATATTTCCAACCCCCCAATTCCATCCATTTCTGGAAATTACAGTAAAAGCAAATGATGTATATTCCCTTTAAAGATTTGTATGACTTAAATACACTTAAAACAGCTTTCTTGCCATGTTACTTTGATTTTCCACATCCTTTGTAATAATCTAAAAAAACATAGCGTAATGGCTATGGGGTATTTCAATTTCTAAAGACAGACTTGCAGGGTTGCGTTGTCCCAATTGTTGCCCTTTTCCCCGGTACCCCATCAGTGCCAATATGTAAAGGGCACTTGACAGAACGGCAAAGATGAGTGCTTAGAGTTTCTCTTTTTTTAAATGTTGGTTATCGAAGGTGTGGTGCACATTACATGTGAACCTAAAGTTTTGTCACGTTTTAGTTTTGTTCTTGTTCAGGAGGTTCTTGATCCTTTCGACAACGGGTATCCGGTTCCAAAATCACCGGCAAGAGCAGACACCCTCCATGCAATTTGCAGATCTTAGGCACAACTGTTTGCGTTTGCATTTGCTCGGTTGTAATATACTAGTTTCTATCCTTGTGTGCAACACACACGTTCTAGGCTCATTTCCACAGGTGTATACAATTAATTAATTAATGGTATATTACCGCAGAAATTATCCTTCTGGCAAGTTGTTTCCATGCAGCAGATGCTGGGTTATGGTAGGCAATACGGAAAGGCAGGTTTAATGTCATGCCAAATCGGAATGCCGTGCGTTCTGAAAAACAATAACAGTGTTTGATTTTTAATGAAATTTATTAGTACACCTGTCTTGAAGCAATTATGTTGAATTACCTTTGCACTGAACACACTCTCTTAACATAGCCTGCTTGTTCATGGTGCGCTGTATCTAAATGTAACTTAAACCATTAGTAGGGTTGACTGGCAAATTAAAATGAAAGGAAAATGTGGGTAACTGTCCACCAACAAATTGGAAAATGTCTTACTATGCATGGTTTACTTAAAGTACTGCTAGTATTATCTTTATTTCTGATGCCACATACAGATTGATGATACAGAGTTTAAATAATAGCCCTTCAAACAGTGAGATATTCAACAAGTAAACAACTCAATCGAGAGACCCAAGGTGCAGTATTCCACGGGCCTAAGGATGAAGTCATGCTCCAGTCACTTTTAAAAAGATTGTGCAGGACCCACGCCTACTTACTTGTACATGAACCATCACTGTTAGTGAAATATCCTGCAAACCCATTGCATTCGCATGTGTAGCCCGCAGCGTTGGTAGCCGGTTGACAGAACTTCCCGTCAGTGTCTGGACATAGAGTGGTGTCTGACAAACATGGACTGGCAGCTGAAAAAAATGGGACAGTACATGATTTTGTAAGTCATTGTTGCGTTGATAGCAGAACATGTTGTACAGGCTTGACCATGTTTTAGTAATCAAACAAAAATTGTTTCGTCATTGATTGGCTAGTTTTAATTGAAATAAAAAAGTTATACGTGACCTGAGTAATATAATTAAAAACAAAAAGACTTTCCCGGAATATTTTCACAGATGTGACACTGCATCTGCACTTCCTACCAAAGTGCCCGTTCACACTTACTTGAAGCAAAATCAAGGCAACCCAATGACGTCGATAACTTAAGTTTGACTGTGAAGTCTGCTGTTACCTGACACATTCGTTCCGCACTGTAATTCGCTTGAATAAGGAACTTAAAAGTCATTAGATGCAATTTAATGCTCCCAGAATCATAGTGAATAAAAAAAATCATCACGGAGCAACTCAGTGTAACAGCTCAATGTGAGTTTGTGCTATCAGAAGAGAATAGCATTGGATGAAACTAGTATCTTAGGAAATATAAAACATCATAAGCGTTACAAAAGCAAAACCATAACTGTGGAATTATTGTGAACACAGGAAAGCACAGTTTTAACGACAACTCATTGCAAAATCCTACCTGCACAAGTTGGTCCAGAAAAATCAGACGGACAAAGACACTGGCAGAAGTCTGCATCGAATTCACCTCCATTCGAACAAGTAGATGCAGACAACGGGCAGTCTGATACAAACAAACACAAACACAAACAACCATGAGCCACACGAGAGTTAATGGGCATTGCATGTGACATAGGACCTGCAGGGATCATGCTTCAAGTACAGATGCACACATGGCTTATAATTAAATTAAATGTCTTTAATTGGAGTCTGCCAATGCAGGCTGAATATAGACAAAATAATGGTAGAGCGGTGGTACAGCCTTAATGATCTAAGGTTCTTTCCACTCATTTCAAGTGAGATCCAGAAGAATGATGTGGGAAAGGAAACAGCAGCGTATGGGGTGGAAATGAAACCTTGTGTGGACGTGGGCAGGTCCACACAACGTCGCTGCTACCTGGTTTATATGGACAACTTTTTTTGTTCGGAAGTCCACACAGTGAATGTAATGCTTGTCCACACACATAAGGCCCAGGTATACGATTCTACATTAGGTTCACAGTGGTGAAGTGCAAGAAAGTGCAGCTATGCCAAATTGATCTCTCATAGACATAGTGCATTGTGTATATGAATCTCCGGTACAAATTCCACAGTCAACTTCGACTAAACTTGATAGGAGCATCTACTTATACAGAACTGTGTTATTGAAAGGTTGTCAATGTCAAAAACTTTAGTAAGATACTCTAATGAGTTGTGGATGTTCAAACTTCAAGTAACATCAAGACCAATGTCAAGAAGTTCAGTAATATACTCCGATCAGTTTTGGATGTCCAGACTTCAAGTAGCAACATGTAAATCAATGCTGGATATAACTGAAGTGGGTATGTAGTTGACTTTTGTACCTGTCTTGTGTTACAATTTGGTTAATTGATCTTTATCTAATAATGGACAGTATGTTCTAGATTTGGCTACGGCGGACATTGGTGACAACACGTGCGCCCCTTATACGTTCCGGCCGTAGGCGCCATAACTATATAAGTACAATTTTGTCAAAATTCTATCAGACAGTTGGTTTAAAGGTCATCGTTCGATTGGTTGCAACACCATGGGGAATGGCCTTACAAAACATCAGTTCTTAGATTTAAATGGAAACAGGGCCCGTTTCAAAGGGCCACAAAGGTGGAGATTTTCTCTTGGCGTGATTTGATGTTTCCAACGGGTCTTATACTTATGCATATGGCAATTCTGCCAAATTTATCATTTTTTTTCAACCAAGACACGGCTGATCAGTTATAGACCAATTTGTTTCCAGCGAATGATGTAGGAAAATAATCAATTTCTGAGCAACAGATTTACAAAAACATTTGGATATTTTTTAAGAACCCCCAATAAATAAAAGCCCTTCCCAATAGCTCATTCTAAATCTTAAATGTTTATCTTTGTTTCCATACCTGAACAGTCAGTTCCAGTCCAGCTCTGGGCACATGAACACTGGCAAGTAGCAGTGTTGAGAGTTCCGCCATTCATGCAATTCAACTCGCAGTCTGCAACGAAATAACTATATTTGTCAATTGTCTTTTTAAAGTATACAACAGTCCTGTCTACAGTGCTACAATATGCAAAGAAGGAATGTTTATGAGTGCAAGAGAAATTACACTTAATGGAAAAGGTGGCAGCTAGATGGGACATTTCAATCAATGTTAAGGCCTTGTATAAATATCAATACGTGTTTGCCTATACACTGTAAAAACACTTAGTTTGATTTGACCAAAAATACAAAAAAAAAAAAAACCGGCACCCAGCCCAGGCTACAGTGAGGGTCAGGTCACAACAAGATTTGATATAACCATTTTATAATGAACATAATTGGGTGGATATAGAGGTTAAAATTGTTTGATGACAATGCTCTATAGGGCCGCAAGTTAACGATCATTTTTTTTTCGATCAGTTAATCGTTCCCTTCCGATAACAGTTTCGATTAACCGATAAGCCTATTGTTGTAGGAAAATTCTGGTTGAAAAAAAACCTCGCGCCAATTGAAAAACGATATCGCCTGTATCTCGATTTGTCTTGACCTTACGCAATTCCGATTTATTCAGAGAAACATCATAATCGTGCTGAAATGATTTATCGTTAAGCGGTTCGTGGGATGTTTCCATATATAAGCCCGTTTTTTCACAACTTGGTTTTTGATTAATCAAATAAAACAATTTAACTGAATAATCTACACATTAATCTAGGAAACTGAATAATACTTGCAGCCATACGATGGTCTGTTTAATTTTACATACAATCTACAAGCCAGGAGGAGGTTCGTTTTAAGCCATATTTGGTGTGGTGGTATTTTTATAGCAATGTTCTATTGTATATGTATACATAATAACACTCATCCTGTACTCACCAGAGCAGGTAACTCCCATCCAGTTTTGATCGCATTGACACCGACATGCTCCGTCATTCAACGTGCCATCATTTTGACAGATAAGTGGGCAGTCTGAAATACAATCACAATACCTTTAGCTTAAAAAAAAGGAGTTCCAGTATTGCAAAGAAAAACAAAAACGAGGCTTATATATAGTCTTAGTCACAAGTTTTCAAAAACTGAAATATGGTTTAAAATTTCAAGCGAAGCCCCGAGCATTGCCATGGTGCTAAATTTCAGCGTATCGCACTGGAAAGTTGAAAGTCTTGAAAACAATGAAAATACACTTAGCTAAAAGAGTTGTCTTATTACTGTAAAGAAAAAAAAGAACGAGGCTTGTGTGAACTTACTCACACGTTTTTAGAAACTAAAGCACGGTTAGAAATTTCAAGCACTCCCCTTAGCATTGCCATCGCTCTAAAAATCAGCGTATCCCAAATTGCACAGGACAGTTGAAAGTCTGATAAACAATCAATATACCCTTATCTTAAAGAGTATCCTAATTATTGTAAATACAAAAGAACGAGGCTTCTGTGAACTTACTCACACGTTTTCAGAAACTGAGACATTGTTTGAAATTTCAAGCAAAACCTTGAGCATTGTCATTGTTCTTCAATCAATAAATGTCAACAAGCTAGTTGAGGATAGCCACTTGTCTTTGTTCAATCAGGAAATGACCAACAGCTTTGAAAATGTTTTTTATGTTTTTTTTATTTTTGCATATGCGAATTTCTAAATATAGACTTATTTTGTGAACATTGTCAATTAATATGACAACGAAAATAAAAATTGGCAACTGGCTGACTGGCCAATCAGTAGGGCTCCGTCAGTAGAGAATGGCAATTGAAATGGTAGGGTTTGTTTCGTCCGTTTGTTTTGTGTACAACAAAACATGATTTGAATATCTAGGCAGTTAAAAAGTTGGCAAAATCAATAATTTCTTATGACGCTCATCTTCTTAAATTAAAACAAAACTCACCAGAGCAGGTGGTTCCAGTCCAGCTACCGGCACATGTACACTGACACTTCCCAATGTTAACATTCCCAGCATTTGCACAGGTCAAAGGGCAATCTGTGAACAAGGGTCAAATTCATCTCTTTCATTTAACACCAGTTGTACTACATGTGTTATTTTGTCCTTTTCTTTATAAAAAAAAATAAAAACAAACACAATTATGTTTAAAATTCAATACCTCAAAAACAAGTTCACAAAACAACTACAGTTCATCCCATGCAGAAGGACATACTTACATTGTCGAGTCGATATTTGACTTTTTTAGAAGAACAAATATAGCCTAGAAAACTGCAGCGTCAAACAGGGAACTTGGCCTTCACAGCTAACTACAATTTGTTTAACTACATATTGTTTGGACTTTGAGATTTTACACAGGTGGAGGCTATGCAACATAATACACCGAATAACATAACTTCTTCCACGATTCACAAAAGCTTCCGCTCACGTAACGACAAATAAATAGTACAATTGTTCTCTTTTTGTCAGCTACAAATTGTACTGCGTCACTGCTTCACAAAGACCACTGCGTCTGATGTGTTACAAGATCGGAAAAACCCTAAAAACCAATCGAAAAAACAACAACTCAACAGGGTGCTGACATTATGGTTTCCCCTCATTTAAGAGTTTGCATGATTTCCAAACTCTTAAATGAGAGAAGATGATGGATATTTCTGTGAATTTTTCAATGATAAAAACAGATAGACAAGTAGACAGCATTAGGGTATTTTTGAAAAGTAAACACAATACTTACCAGAGCAAGTTGTTCCCATCCAGTTACCTGTGCATGGACATTCACAGGTCTGACTATTCTGCTGTGCACCGTTTTCGCATTGTAACGTACAATCTGTAAACAAAACAGATGACATTTCTCAAGTGCTGTAAAAGTATTTAAACATTGAATATAATTTACTTTTGATTTGACGATAAATGTTAAACACCAACATGTGCAAACACATAAATGCAAACAAACTACTTTCCCTGATATTAACACATAACACATTTTGAAAATGCTTAACGTAATTTGTTATAATTATGACAAGATGTGATAGGGTCTCATTATGCCAACGATTAGTAATTCTGCTGATACTTTAGCCAAGGATTAATTTAAGCTGAACTTGGTTGGAATGGCTACAGGATTTAGTTTGTGGTCGATAAAGACTGATGTCTTTAGTAAAAATGTTTAAAATGTTCGAAGGAATAGTAATAAATTCATGGTCAAAATGTTGCTGAACGGCGCGCCACCGAGTATATTAACCAACTTAACACCCTCCAAGAATTCTTAACTATTGCTTGAACAATGGCCTTTGTATATCTTCATTGTTGAATTTGTTAAAATTTAGTAAATTAGTAATATCAAAGCATTTAAAAGAACGGCATTCGTCGAGCTGTCACAAAAGCCTAGTGGCTAACGAAATGAGCTTAGATTTAAAAGGTCCCTAGATCGAATCCTGCAATGTCAATTTTTGAAAACGCCATTATTCCAGCTACATGGATTTATCGAAAACCCATAGTGTCATGTAATGATCCCACGTATGGGAGACAATTGTGGTGGATGTCGAGTGACGCATCGTGCTCCATGAGTCCAAAATAATGTGAAGGCAAAATAGTGGTTTGACGTCACGGGAGGGTGTTAAAACTAGGAAAGGGGTGTCTACCTTAAGCACCCTTCCCCCTCCCTGGGAGAGTGAGAGCAAAGGTTTTGAAAATCGTTGTATTTGTTGTACTGTACAGTTTACTGCAATTTCAGAGCAAGAAGAGAGCTAACCTACTCAGAAAACTCTACGTTAATACAGTGAAAAAGAAATCATTGGTGTTCATTTACCGGAACAGTAATCCCCTGTCCAGTTCTGGTCACTGTCACATGTACACTGGCAATTCTGATCCTGCACTCCATTATTGAAACAGGTGGATGGGCAACCTGCCATACACACAAAAACAGGGAGCAATGTGAACTTATAAACATTTAGTTCCGTAAATTGTGCTGCTTCTCATACAAATATTATTATGTGAAAATAATTACAGCGCATGAATGAAACTGTACTTTTCTTGCTTCCATTATGTCATAAAGTAAAGTTTTCATAAAGTAACACTGAAGTGGACCTGAAATAACGCCACGGGTGTGGTCATGCATGATTTTTGGCAAAATCAACAAATTCATGTTGTTTTGTAAATATCAGAACGTGAAAAATGGGGGGGGGGGTTATCACAAGTTCAATATTGTCCTTATTTTCCTATACCTGAGCATTGACAAGTACTGGTGAACAGATTCTCTCCTTCCTGACAGCTATCGGCAGTTAAACTACAGACTGAAAAACAATAAGAAAGAGAGAACAAAGCTTATTCGATTCATTTTTTTGTTTGGTAAATTGTTGTGTTTAATCTATTTTAAATTTGTTTTAGAAACTGTATCTTTGTAGGAAGATACTTTTCAACACATGCGAAAAATGCTAACTGAGCTCAAATGATGTACTGCATGCAGAGCATCCGTTTATTTCATAGAGACGGTAAGTATGGCACAGTAAACAGTATACATGCTTCCAAAAAATTGTGTCACATCGATACGAATGTCTAAGAATGTGTCGAGTACGCTTATGGTCATCACAACTTTGTCTGCTACAGCCAGCACAATTTGTCTGCCTAATTATCTTCCCGCCGTGAAATAGGGTGCAAGTACACATCTAAGCACACTCATTAAGACCTGATCGTTTCCTTCTTTTGTTCCCTTTTGCTTGTACCTTAACTTGTTCTCAACGGCTCCCATAATGTTTGTACACCAATATTCCCGAGGACCTGGGCTCTTTGAAATCGAACATACCCCATTGTTCCAAGTCCTCAGTCTGAATGATAACCATCCCACCGAAGTGTGTATTAAGCTGCAATCATGGACCTCCTATTGACCCCCCTTTGTTTATAATTAAACTGTTTAGGAAGACCTCCCATATGTTGTGTACAGGATCGTCAATTGTGGACCTTCTGTAATTGTGGACCCCTTTGTCCAACGTCCCCTATTAGATGCAGAAACAAAACACAGTGACACAAGACATCGCAATCAATATAATTACCAGTACAGGTCGTTCCACTCCAATCGTTTATGCATGTGCACTGACATGTCGCCTCATTCAAATTACCACCATTCATGCAGTCCAATGTGCAAGCTAGTGAGAAACAAATAACATTGATTCCATGAACATCTGTAAGTTGTTTTTATTTTCTGATGAATCCATATGGGACAATGCAGTACTGGAGCTTTGTTGGCAAACACGTTTGGCATTATGAGGCATTAATGTGACTACAAACGGGATGAACCAAGCCTCAAATTCCAATGCATAAAAAAGATCGGCCACGGGTCTCCTGTCAATCTTGCAAAGTCAGGAAGATCACGTGCACCCCCTCAAAAAAAAATCCATGGAAACTGTGTGCTTTATGAAGGTGTTACTTGCCATTAATGATGTGCATACAGGCTTTGTACTAAAACAACTACATGGGTTTGAATTCCTTATGAACAAAAAAATGTATTCATGGCACTTAGACTGAAGAGGTGTTTTTTTTTTATCCTACTTTAGATTTTTAGGATGCAAATTTACAATCATGATTAAAAAAGATGAATGCAAACTTGTTCTACATCTGTATGATTAGGGCCTGTAGAGGTCCTATTTTTGGCTAAATTAAGTCCAAAGCTTACCAAGACGACTTACATATTATCTCCTTTTTACACAATACCAATCCGACAGTTATAGTCAACAGAATTCCAATTCATGCCCATGAACTCTTCTATCTCTTCACATATCCCTTGCTACTATTGAAAAAAAAAAAACATAAATACTGTTTTTAGTTTGTTTGTTTTGACCAGGTTTTTTTCTTTCAACTGACCGCTACAGTTTAGTCCATCCCAGTTGTCGGCACAGGTACATGTGCACGCTGCAAGATCCAGTGTTCCGCCATTCACACATGACAGCTTACATACTGAAAAGATAACACGTTCATATTCAGTGCTCATTTGATATTCCTGTCTCAAGTCATATGACAATTGTTTTAAAAGATTGATTCATATATTGATTCATATATTAACATTCATATATATATGACTGCAAAATGACTCTGCATAGTTTGAGCAAAAAGTAAGAAAACTACTCAATCATGAAACCTGAAACTATACCTTACACCTTCACCACCTTCAGACTAACAAAAAATTCAAAATGCTGTCATTTATCCAAGGGCATAGATTGGACCTTTCATACAATTCTTTTTTTTTTCAATTTGATATCGGCTAGACAGTTTGTAAGGTTAAAATTTCCAAGTTTCCCTATTGTTTGTGAACACTGCATTATTTCTTACTGCCACTGATATCATAAAACCAATAATAACATATTTGAAAGTTCAATATTATCTTAAACACAAGACAGATTGAACTAAAGTTTAATATTTTCTCAAACAAGCATCACAATTCCAACTTGTTACCTATTTCACAGTTTTCTCCCATGAACCCTACGTCACAGCTGCAGGTGTACCCGCGAGCAGTGTTCAGATCGTTGATGCAAGTTGCTCCGTTTACGCAGTCGTTGCCCATTTGACAAGGTGCTTAGGATAATAAACAAGATCGGATTGAACTATAACCTGGAGGGAGGTTAACAAAGCTGAAATATATCTTAAAAAACTGGAATAAGTTGGTTTCAGCCATCAAACGACAAGTGGCGTAACTATGAGCAAGTTCGATCAAGGACCAGTGGTTAGCTTGTGGTTGATTCGTGATGTACCTAGCGTATGCGCACTGAAGCTGAAGCGCAAACGACTCTAATTGTCATGTCAACGACCGTCAGAAAATGGCGGTCCCACATTCAACACTTTTTTTCTGTTTATTAACACAATCATAGTGATAGTGCAGTTTATGTTATCTTACATATTCGCCATTAATAATAACAACAATAATATACAAATTTCTACCGCGCATTTCTAAATACAATTGATCAAATGTGCCTTACAATAAGAACAATAAGACGTTAAGTTATTTAAAAATCCAACTATTGTACAATGTTGACCAAAGACAGTGTCAGAACCATGAACCTGAATAATCGACTAGACTAGTCTAACCATCGTCGACTAACGTGCGTTCGATCAAAGTCATCGAACTATGGTTAATTATGGTCCTTGGGGGTACTGATTATGATCAATTTTTAATTCCAAATTGGGGGATGGGGGTGAGGGTGGGGTGGGAGCGGAGTTGGGGTGGGGGTAGTGGCACTGGGGGTACCGGGGGTAGGCACTGGGGGCACGGACATCCACGGGGGGGGGGGGGGGGGGGGGGGGCACGTGCCCCCTGTGCCTCCCCCGCCCCTTAGTTAGCCAGTGAACATAACCCGTTTGATGCATTACAGGGCACAGTTGTATGTAAACATTACAGGATAACAATCTATGCACTTAAATGGCAAGATTTTTAAATCAATAAACGTAAAACGAGGTACCGAAATTTTAAAACAGTCATATTTACCATAGAGATTTTGCCTACCAAGTAACACTACAATCATATACTTTTTTGAGTTTACATGAAATGACCTGTATTTTTCCAAGTGTTGTCGTCGAGTCAATCAAAAGTCATTTCATAAAGTCAGTCACAAGTAACAAGATGAACAACGACCGAATAATGATCTTGTTGCATGTCATTGTAATGCAACTAGTGACTTCATGACTTGTGACTGATTAACTTAGGATATACTGGCAGGGAATTGCATAGGCTGGACTACATCACTGATATTTCTTTTAATCCATCAACAGTTGTTCATTTGGCCCATGCCTACACTGATTTTGATTAAACATACTACTACTACTGAATTGTGATGAACAAGAAGATACAGATGGAGAAGTCTGTTCTTTGCCTGTGCCGTTGCTGGTTTATTCACCACACACTAACGGAAGAAGTGGAAATGAGAAACCAATTTGACTCGTAGGTTTACGCAAACAAAGTAGTCCCAAATTTACATATCAAAACATACCTCCTCCTTTAAAAGTAGACATTTCATTAACTATAATCAAGTTTTAACTACAGAGATCTGCAATTTAGCACTGTTTCATGAGGGCAAAGATATTTAGAATTGATGAGAACTGTGCACGATAGAAAGATTTTGATCATTTTCCATTATTCCACATTTACCTGAAATCAAATGCAGATGTATATATATATATATATATATATATATATATCACCAGGTAATTCATTACAGCCCACCATTATAGAGTAGTAAATTTCAGACCTCTGTGGTTAAAATTCAATTATGGTTCTTGAAATTGTACTTTCCAGAGGGGAGGGAAGTTGTGATATGTAAATGAGGAACTACTTTGTTTTGGTAAGACTACTGAGGCAATCCGGTTTCCCACTTCCACTTCCACTTTTTCCATTAGCGTGTGGTGAATACCTACAGTGGCACAGGCAAAGGACCGATATCCTGGCACTGACAGTGTATCTTATTAGGTGCAGAGTTTCTTGTTTAAGAAAGTTACCCATCGTTTCACACCGCGGGCCGCTGAATCCTTGACCACATGTACAGGTGTAGCCAGTGTCTGATGAAGAGTTAACTGCACAATTCCCACTGTTCATACAAGGGTTGACGTCACATGGTTCTGGGGGAAACAGAAATACACACATGATTGATCAAAACAATATAAGAAAATGCTACCATGCTCAAAGTTTTCCTATTTCGTTGGGTTCTTTCACAAATTGCCAATCCAATGGAAGCCGATTCCACACTAGTCTTTCCCCGCAAGATACAAATCACGATATTTTGTACATAAATTCACCTACCGACTTGGCAGTTTTGTCCGCTGTAGCCCGGTGGGCAGCTGCACGTGTATCCTCCCGTGGCCAAGTTGTCCTCAACACACTCACCACTGTTAATGCAGGGCGTCGCATCACACTCTGGTTGAGAACAAAAGCAGCAGAATGTGAACTGTTAAACTGTGAATGTCCCCTCTGTTCGCTATTCTCCTTTGTGAGAATAGAGATTATTATTTGAGTTTGATACACACTTTCATTAGAAGCATACATTTTGAGAGCGAGTACTTACTGGGGTCACCGATAATGAACGTCCGTTTGATCAGCTGGTGGTTGGGAGCCAGCTGACCCCCATTGCTACCCGTCAGCTGGCCAAGCAATGCCATGATGATCTCTAGATCCGAGTGCGTGGAGCCACTTTGGAAGTTGATAACCAACGTCAGTAAAGCTGTTGTTGAGTCCGAGCTCAGCGTCAAGTCTGTGATGACTACATCCCTGAAGGAACTACTCAAAGAAGAATCTCCGAAGGCTGCCTCCATCTGAGTTCAACATGAGTCATTAAGAGAACCAGCAATTAATTTCTTTTTTATGATGAACGTTCAACAAAACTTTCACGCACTGCCACAACATCACAATTTGGAAACGTTTAGTCCATATTTTACAAAAGCCACCACCTGTCTATGGCATCGGCAATGAGCATTGATCTTGTTGAAGCGAAAACCCTATGCAATTTTTATGGGCATTATTAATGGTTCAATCAACGTTCCTGGGATGTCTTCAATTTCTTTTTTTGCTCCTAATAATATACATTGTTGATCTCATTGGAGTGCTGATTTAATAAATTCAAGTTTCCTTTATACATGTTTAATTTCATTTTACATGTTAAGAAAAACTGTTAAAAAATTGTGTGTTTTTTTTTATTGAAACACACCACTCCCATATCAGTAACCACCAGTCATGTAATCCATTAGGGGGAATACATTTGAAGAAATAATGTTGTCTGTGCAATCTACATACCGAATTCTTCAATTCCTGGCGATATGTGACGGAGCCTGTTGCCAGATTAAATCCAGCACCGTCCACAGCCAAGCCACTGATGATTTCAAACACGGCAGATGCCTCTTTTGAATAAGCCGCTGAGAAAAAAAATACGCACATTTTAAGTAGGCGACCTGACAAACTATTGACAAGTTTGGCCATTTACCTATAAGCTGAGTGCCACAGCAGAGTTGTAATGACTCGGGTCAATGACTGCACTTGAGTCTGACTCGAGTCACAATCTTTTGGCGACTCGACTCGACTGGAAAATCGACTCGATCCGAGTCCCAACGGGTAACTGACTCGACTCGAGTCACTGTGCGCAAATGACCCAACTCGAGTCAAAGGCTATAATCACTTGAGTCCCAACACTGTGCGAAATTTTGCAGTGACTTACGGGAAATGTAATTATGTTCGCGTATTTCGCGTTACAGTCAAGCTGTGGCCGCTTATCGCATACAAATATACGCCGAATGACGGATTCCCTTCTGATTTTATAAGGTGGCCCACAAACTACCATCCCGGAACCAGGTTTTAAACGCATCTCCAAATTCCTGTTTTCATCATCGGCTTCGGGCGATTTCTTAAGCCCTTGATACTCGGACTAAATGTCATGCTTTAAAATCAAATAATTCGATATATTTATATAAACCATAAAGCCTATGACGTTATCAGCGTAAATAAAATATTCCAGACCCGAATGTCCACTTCGTGTTAACAGTTCCGTAGATCTTTGGTAAACGTCCAGCAGAAGCTGTCTAATGGGTACCATGCAACATATTTTCAGTCTCTGGATCTTCATAACAAACTGGTGCCTTGTTCAATAATTTATTAGATGGTTTACAAGTACCAGTGACTAGATTTGACTCGAGCATAAACATGACTTGACTCGACTCGACTCGACCACAAACTTTAACTCGACTCGAGTTGACCAGACCTTCTTGACCTAATCACTCGACTATGCTCGAGTCACTTCCTTGAAATACTCGACTCGGCTTGAGTCACTTCCTTGAAATAACTCGACTCGACTCGAATCACAAAATATTGTGACTCGTTACAACTCTGCTCCACATAAATGGCAGAAACATTGTGCGAACTGCTTCCACAACGTGCATTCCAAACAATAGCAGCCAACATCCTCTTGCCATGTAACAGGGGCATTTATGCGTGCTGCGAGCACAGTGATCCACACTGCAACAACGTTTTGCTGTGTATCGACTTTTTTCTTCATTTTTTTCTTCTTTTCCCATTTCTTTTTCTGACAAGCGTTTGGGAATGTTCATCCACATTACCATAATAGTCAGGCTCACACCTTAACTTTCCCTTTCTACCTGTGCACCATTTGGATGATCATTTCGTCATTATTTTTAATGGCAATTTTTTTTTTCTAAAGTCATTAATGAGAGTAACTCTTTCTAGCAAATCTGGAATAGCAAAATATTACCCAGACATTCTGACTCTTGTTGATAGAATCCTAACATGCAGTTGCACTCATACGTCCCTGGCAGATTAGCGCACATTGAGTTGGCCATCGTACATGGAGTCCCATCACATTCGTTCACATCTAAACAATGGGAAAGATATCGAGAACATTTCATCAACCCAAAACCCCTTCAACATTTTGGCAAAGAACCTTTTTGAATCCTACAAAAAGAGTAACCATTCTGCAAGTAAACCAATGACAAATTCTTCGTTCTATATTTACTAATGTGAGTGGTTGGGATCTTCCTTCCCTCAATCCAGCTAAGTCCTTCAAAATGGTTAATTGAAATAAAACCTGGGCAAAGTGTTGTAGATTGAGATAAGTTTACGGTTAAAGTTTATACACAAAACTAAACCTTATTTTAAGCAATGAAAAAGAGATTTCCAATGGAATATGACAGTATTTCCCTCAGTTTCAGAGGGAGGTAGGCCACCCCAGTGCAATTCACTCTTGGCCAGATACTTCTAGTCCTTATACAAAATAAAAATCAACATTTAAAAAAAAGAAACAGTGAAAGATGGTTGTTGTTTCTACAGTGTTAATATTTATTGTCCAAAACCACAACAAGTGAAAATTCATCAGTCGTCCAAACATCAATAAAAAATGTTCAGCACTGAACTGTTTTAACAATTCAATTACCTTCACACTGGCCCAATTCATTCTTTTCATACCCCTCCTTGCAGTCACACATGTAGCTACCGACAGTGTTGTTACATAGCGACACCGATGTATCGCAGTTGTCAAGATTCAGCGCACACTCATCAACATCTATAAAGAAACGGAGCCAATCCAACATATCATTGAATATTCAGTATCTGTCTGATAATGGACAAAACACTAGACGAAGTAGGCAGGTTTCTAGCTCTAGGCTCAACTGACTTGAAAGGAACACACAATAGAGCTTGTCTTACTCTTTCTCTCAGGGATTTGTTTGTGCAAAGAAACGTTTTTTAAATCCTATAAAATCCAAAACTGTCTACTGGAATTCAATGGCACAATCTTAATCTTCATCTTTTAAGAAGCATCAAGCAGATATACTAGGGGGAGGCGCACAGGGGGAGCACAGGGGAGGAAAGAAACGTGTAAGCCGTTCAAAATGTTCCCTTTTTTTAAACCAAAAGCATCAGCATTTTACAATCAGCACTGACTTAACCATTTTTCCAATAAAATATGAGCGCCCCTCCTCCATCGAGCAAAACGTGGCCATGCTACTGCCATCAAGCCATGTTGTAGTAACAGGAACAGGATCGACCTTCTTGAAAATCCTGCAAAACCTTCTGAAACCTAATGTTGGAGTTTTAACGATCTTGAATGTTTACACATTTACATCACAGAACATTTTTAGGACCCAGTTCACTCAAGTTTGAATGTGATTGTGCAGTTCACGGCGTATACATTTTCCTGGCATGTTTTCAAAAAAAAGAAAAGGTGTTTACCATCGCACTGTCTACCAGTTGGGAAGCCTGCAGAGACATAACCACCTATGCAGGAACACATGTAGCTACCGACATTGTTCATACACTCAGCAATGTCAGCTGCACACTCATCAGCACCGGTCATGCATTCATTCACATCTACCGACAACCAAAGATCAAATTTAAATGTGATTTATATAAATTTCAAATGTCAGCTTTTAATCATCATTTTTTTCAGATTGGAAAGCAAGTGAGCATGATAAACTGATCTGCAAAAGCTTTCATTTTTTAAAGTTGGTGTATTAGCTGTACATGCTTTACATTCTAGCGAAAAGGAACATATTCAGTGGAGTCTGAACTTAGTTTGACCCTGGCTTGCCAAAAATCTACTGACTTTGTTAGTTTCCACTGCTGTGTGACCTGTAATTACGAAATGAAATTACCCTTTTGCCATTTTACAGTACAATCAGACAAAGCCAAGGTTTGAAGGGCCGGTCGATTTTGTTGGTTTTGGGAGTTAACCTCAATCTGTAACTGCTATGTTTACTTTTTCTCAAATGTATCTTTCAATTCAGTCAAACATTTATATATAAACTTTCTGTTTTCACTTTTAATATTTTGCTCTCTTTCTTTTTCCTGACTTGTTTGTGTAATTCTTGTTTCTATTCATCCTTAGCCTTGCGATAATTTCCACCCAACAAAATTATATAAATATAGTTACTCAAAACACTGAATAAATTTGGTCGTTTGGGTTTCATTATTGCGTGCTTAGCAGTATCCGGAATTCCAATCTTTCAATTCTGTAAAGACATCAGACCTTACCCCTATTTCGTAGAGACAGGTCAGAATGAGAGAAATTGATACATAAACAATATTCGTTTTTACCTTCACAATATGTGCCATTTCCTTGGTAACCCTGGTTACAGTTGCACGATAGCTCCCTCGGTGTCTGTGCACGTCGCTAAGGAGTGACACACGCCAGGGTTCTCCTGACACTCATTGATGTTGACGCACGAGGTGAAGCCATCACCACGGAAACCATCGTCGCACGTGCAGAGATAACTGCCTAAGTTGTCCGTGCAGGTGCTGTTGGTAGCGCACGCGGAGATCCCACTCTCACACTCGTTGATATCTGGTGAAGGAAAATGTGTGAAACACACGTGATTTTATACAGCGGCAAAATACATCTGGACGCATCAAGACTTACCTCCAAAGCGTAAAGTGCCTGTTTTAGCTCATAATGGGCCATTGAAAATGGCCTCCCATTTTCTAAATTATATTCATTTCACAAGGCCGAAAAAAAAAATCGTGTACACTTTTAAGATAAAAGTTGTAAACGTAAACTCTCCCTCCCAATGTTTTTTTTATCAAATTCCAACATCCATTTCTGGAAATATGTTTTTTTTTAACTATGAATAGAAGACTTGTACTGTGTGTGCTTAATAATTTATGCTAGCTCCACATATTTGTCATCTGTAGTGAAACAAATCTGATTGAATTTGGTTGAAAAGCTTTAAGAGAATCGAATGGTTTCACACTGTTTCCATAAGTTAAGGCACACTCTAAAAAAATTTGTATGACCAAATTCAACTATGTTTGGTATCATGGCTCTAAGTAAATACACAGGTTAAGTGCACCAAATAGTTTTCTGCCATAGGGCCATACGAGAATTAGAATAACTTGTATAGACTCCATGCATAGTACACAATGATTCCTTACCACTCACGAGAGCTGCAGTAGACGGGGTTCACATTGTGCACTTGTCAATTTGCGTGTGGTATGAAATTCACAGGATTTTGTATTCTTAGTATTATGTACGACCCCAATCGTCACGTGACATTCAATCGTCACGTGTTTAAGTGTCAGACGCTGTAGGCATTGCATTCTAGGGTTCCTCCCATCAGTCTCTCCCAAGTGTCTCTTTGCAACTAATATGGCGGCATTTGTGCTACACACAGTCCATACTCATCAATTTTATCCTCATTCAAGATGAACCCTAACAATACTGTGCCACAAGCCAATCTTGGCGGTCATCTATCTAAGTAAGGCTTAAAGCAGGTTATTTCTGTTTGCACCTACTTTGGCAAGTTTGCCCACCCCCTTCGTATCCCATGGTGCAGTTGCATTGGAATGAGCCCGCCAGGTTGGTGCACGATGCGAAGGGACTGCAGTTGGCATAGTTCGGGTCGTCGGTGGGCAAGGAACATTCATCAATATCTGGAGGAAAAAAATAAACTTCATATGTTAATTTGTCACGTGAAGTAATTCAATCTATTTCACATTGTGCAGATAATGATGCGTTAACAATTTCTGACTAGATTAAAATGAAAAGACAAAGTTCTGAAAGCTAGCCCAGATCTTCGAGAAAATTAGCACATGTCAAACTCACATCGGGTATTCCAATTAATCAACACCACAAATTAAACAGGAACATAATATGTGCTGGCAAATATGATATATACGTATCATGTCAGGTGCAACTTCAAAACATGCTACAACCAAGCGCTAATAACTGATGAAAAAAAGAACCCATAGTCTGTATGTGTAGTCTAGGCCCCACGTCTCCCCCCCAGAAAAAGGATTATGTTGTTACAAGTATCTAACTGCATAATACATGGGTTGTATCAATTGGGGCAACATAATTAACAAACATCAATGTAAAACACCAAACAAACACTCACAGAAACCTTGAATAATACCAAAACATAAACAGTTTACTTACCAAAGCATAGCTGTCCGGTGCCAGTAAATCCGTCTTTGCATTGGCAGGTGAAGGAACCGTTATTGTTCAGGCAGTCAGCGTCGATGTGGCAATCATTCAAGGTGTCATTCAAACATTCGTTGACGTCTGTCAAAATGAGCAAACATGAATCACGTCATTTAAAACAAATATATATATATATAAAATGAATGGAAGCGGGACATATACACGATATTCAAAGTATTTTTTTCTGGCAATGACAAGATCTCTTTCAATTGAGTGGTTTAATGCGGCTCTGAGGATTCCTGTCGGCTACAAGTAGCAGTGACTATCCACAGCCATATTGACAAAATTGCCGACACAGCCATTTTTCTCTGCACTGGTTGTGGCTGAATACATGTAAGTCCGTAATTGACTTTCGAAATATATCCAACAAAAGAAAGTCAAACAAGCCGTTAAAGGGAATATACAACATTTGCAAACATCGAAAAATAAAACTACCAAGTTTTTGCGAAATACCTTAATAGGATGTTGGTAAATGACAGTCTAAAGCATCCTGGAAAATTATGGCACCTGGTATACTGTCATTTTCAAGAAAAGTGGTATTTTTGTATCAATTTCCAACGCTGATCGGCCGATCAGCGTTGGAAACAACTGGCTTTTTTTCAAATACTGGCCCCAATTGACCATTGCACTTGTTTGCAATCGATTACAAACCTATGAACGGGTACGAGCCAGCTAGACTGGTTCCCTGACCTTACAATTCCCCAATGTATGTAAACTGCTCTGTTTCTTCTGATATGGAGTCAGGGAACCAGACTACAGGAAAATGATCGTTTTTCTTGGTTTTTATAGCATTTTCGAACCCAAAACCTCCAAAAAGTCAGTGTTACTATATTTGCTTTATATTTCCAACCCCCCAATTCCATCCATTTCTGAAAATTACAGCAAAAGCAAATGATGTATATTCCCTTTAAATGTTAACAAAATGTAAAATTGCGTGTCTCTGGAAATTCAAACAGATTTCGGCTTCTGTTTAACTCCTGTTTACAGTAAGAATATTCGTGTGCATGTAAGAATATTCGTGTGCACTTTGATATTCTTGTTCACAGGCATGGAACAAAGAAATAAATGAGCATACTTCTGATATATCATTAGTTTTGAGCCATCTGAAATACGTGTGTTGTATTATTCCACATTTCACTCACACTCACAGGATGCCTGAAAATGAAGACGTTGTAAAGTGCACGACAGCCCTATTCTCTAAACTGAGATGTAGAAGTGGGGTTGGCCTCGCAACCCCCAAAGTGGGACTTAATTTGTAAAGTTTCCAAAGGCCCCTGGGTATGCACGCCCATGAGGAAAGGGTCCTAACCTGAGCAGGATCCGTTGAAACTCTCGCTGCTGAAGCCAGGCTTGCAGTCACAAGTGAAGTAGGGTTCATCGTTGACGCACATCTGGCTCATAGCATCGCAGTTATGAGTACCGGCTTGGCATTCATTCACATCTAAATATCATGAAATAATGACATGATGGTTTGTCAGAGCTTAGATTTCAAGTAAAAATCAAGTAGACTGCAGTGCTTGCTAACCAATACAAATTCTACCTGACATGAAGTACTTTTATTTGAACAGTGCCCCCCCCCCCACCAAAAAAATGTCGGTTGATTCATAGTACTTTTGGTAAGCAATATTTCTGCTCAGCAGCCACACGAAATTGATTTCTAGTGTCATTGTCAGATTGACATACCTGAACAGGTCCGTTGGTCACTATTGAGAGTGTAACCGGGATAACAACGACACTCGTAACTGCCTTCCAGGTTATCACACATCGAGTTGGCACCACACATGTCAGGGTCACTCTGGCTTGTGCACTCATCAATATCTGAAATGCAGTAAAAAAAAGATGAACTGAGAGGAGTGTTCTCTTAAAGCCACTGAACTGTTTGGCATAGAAATATCTAAATTCCTAAAAGAAATTAGAATTGAAACTCATTTTGTGATGAAAGATCAAAACATGAAAACAAGTTAAGGAGGACACTGTTAAACTATGTTACCTTCGCAGACAGTGATATCACCATTGATTGCGTATCCTGGGTAGCAGAGGCACATGTCTGTATTGCTGGCTCTGTAACAGTCACCCTGGGTGCAATTTGTATCCGAACACACCATTTCAGCTGTGGGCGAAAACCATACCATGAAGGAGTTATTGTGATGGCAACAAGCTTACATTGTATTACATTGTATTTACTCACTGATGAATCTATAAAACCGGACAGTGCTGGGACAGTTTGAGGTTGTTAATGGACTAATGGGTTACGATATTTTGTATTAAAGAGACAATTATGAGAAGAAGTAATTACAATGTTTTGAAAGATAATGAGTGGTTTTTTATGTTTGCTTACAAATTCAACTTTCTTCATTTTCTTAATATTAATTTACAGAAATCAGCAAAAGAGATTTTCCCACTGGGCAAACTGGTTATTTTCTTCTGTATCTTGATGAATTTCTTGGTGCATATTTAGGATGCCAAACTAGCTTATTCAAGGAAAGTTGCCAACTGAATATTTCACCCTGACAAACTCGGTCTCGAAGGGTGAATCCAGTGCTACAATTGCAAGCAAATGATCCCTCGGTGTTGGAGCACTCTTGCTGGCAGTCGTCAAGTCCAAGAGTGCATTCGTTAATGTCTGTGCAAAAGGAAGTAAAAAACTTATTTATACCAAATAGCACAAATTAATAAGTGGAGTAACACGCTGATAACTGTGAAAAGAGGCAATTGTTCTGTCATTGCAAATCCCCTGTACTGTTAATGGACTTAGCAATCGACCTGCAATTTACCGAACAAGAGATTTGTGTTTAAAAATGAACTTCACAACAAAAGAAAGGTATGGTTGCAGCTTCGGTTTGAATGACAACACGGGCTTTTGAGAGTAATGTTGATATTACAATAGTTTTATTGCAACATCCAGTCGAAAACATGAGACAAAAACAAACGAAGAGTCTTTCCTCAATGCTTGAAAGTTAGAGAATGCATTGGCTGAGTATGATGGCATTAACATCTGGGTCAAAACAGTCACACTTAGACATGGGCTCTTAGAAAGCAATTTTCAATTGTTGTTTTGCCTTTGACGAAGATTTTGTTGCAATGTCAGGGTGCTAAAGATTATTTGACATCTCACCTTCGCAGGTCTGTCCGTCCCCTGTGTATCCAGTAACACAGTTACACTGATAGCTGCCCACAGTGTTGGTGCAATTAGCGTTCGCCGAGCAATCATTGTTTCCCTGACACTCATCGATATCTACAATGATCAAAGTTGTATGACAGGAAAAAAAAAATGTTTGGAAAAAAAAATACTTTCATTTCAATTGGTGTCAATGTCACCTTCTGGACTTGATTCTACGTGTTTGCAGACAAGGGATTTGGCAGCGCATTAAGGAATGTAGCGAATGGGGCGGAGTGTCACTAAAGAGTATATCATCCCGCACCTAGGCAAATGATCCATCATGGGCGTTGCTGCAATGAAGAGTGCCACCTATTGTCCGATAAGGTCCAAGGGATTTAAACATCACCGCCTTTAAGTCAGATCATGCAGTTCCCCTCCAACATCCCTTTATTTTTGCTTTTCGACGTCCTGTTATTTGCTGGGAAAAAAAACAAACTTTTCTGGCTACCTTGCAACACGGAGGGTCGGTCATCAAATTTGTTTTCACACCCCCAATCAAATCAGTCGAACTATGCCCCTAATTATGAGCACATCTTCTGATCTTGTCAACTACCTTTAGTCTACAAATTTAAAAACTAGTCCTTTGACACAAAAGCACTGGCAACAGAACAATACAAATAAATCGCCTTTCCATTTTAAACAATTCTGTCAGTATCTACGAAGATTTTGGTAAAAAGAAAACAGAGGATACCTCCAACTTTCAGGCCCAGTAACATCGTGGACCTGCAAGGGACACTAACACATTTATATAGCACACTGGTTATGTTTGATTTACCTGTACAGTTTGTCCGACCGTCCCCAGTATATCCATCCTTACAGCTGCAGTCAAAGCTACCCACTGTGTTGCTGCAATCACCAGTAACGGCCAAACAATCGTCCTGACCAGTGGTACACTCATTCAAATCTACGAATCAACGGTAATGACAGAAACATTTTAGGCTGTGCAAACATTTGGTATTTTGCAGCCCTGGCTTCGCCTTTGTCCTATGATGGGCAACAGTGAATATTATTTTATAGTCATGGACAACAGTGTCTGTGTTGGACAGGGCCTACGTTGGTTAGGATGATGGTGTTCGAAGTCGACAATTCAGATTGACTGCCCTGGTATACTATGTTCGACGTATAAATGATACACTGAACAGAACATCTAATGTTTTCAACTGCATCACCTTAAGAAAAAAAAAACACTCCACATATAGCCCTGGCTGGCTACTTTCACTACAGCAATCAAAACGTAACACTGCAATCTGTACACTGCAAACTTGCGAAAACACTACTTACCCGCACACATCATTCCGTTGCCAACATAACCAGTGTTGCACTGGCATGTAAAGCTACCTTGAGTGTCCGTACATTCAGCGTTCTCATGACAGACTGGTAACGATGCGGCACATTCGTCTACATTGGTGCAGTTGGTGCCATCGCCAGTCCAGCCATCCCCACACGCACACGTGTATGACCCCACGGTGTTTGTGCAATCGGCTTCAGCATGACAGTTATCATCCAGGTTCCTTGTGCATTCATTCAGATCTATCGATACACGTAAAGTAGAAAGTCATGTTTCGAGCAACACTTTCAGCTGAATGCGACTGGGTGACGTCACAACACTTTTTCACGCAGCCTTTTTATTTCACAAAATGTGGAAGCAGTTTAACACCAACAGATTTCGCCATGAAAGTTTGTTTATTCCAAATGAACGTCACATTTACATTTGCATTTGCAATGAAATGGACCACATTGTTTGCGTCTAATTAAGGCAATTAATTCCAAAGTCAATTAGTACATAAGGCCTTACCTTGACATGTCTTGCCATCACCTTCATATCCCGCAATGCACACACACAGGTACGAGCCGATGGTGTTTTCACACTTAGCTTTCTCGTCGCAAGTGTAGCTACTATTGTCCATGCATTCCATGAGGTCTGAGGGATGTATGACAAAAACAAATGTGACTGTAACTTTAGCTAATCTAACGCTGACTTCACAATTATAGGAATAAGACTTAAAGCAGGAGCATTCTATACACTGTTTTTTTAGCATCATTTGCTTGTATTGACTAAATTTCCACAAATGACTTTTTCGAGCCTTGGCTGACTTAAATCAACTTAGAAAACTGACAAAAACACGATTTTGGTGCCATTACTGTGGGTTTCCTTTCACGTTTAACGCTATTCCTTTGTATACTATTTACTATCTAGGCCTCAAACCTTCAAACATCTGAAAATACAAGTTCTCACACGTTCTCACAAGTTCTCGAAAGTTCTCAGAAATCGTCACAAGTAGTGGACAACAACCCAAATCGTAAAACAAACAGTGAAACAAACAGTACTTCTTTTTCCAGTGTTCCTTCCCTGCGTAATTTAGTTGAATACGCTGTAAGGTAACTTATGAATGTTTTGCAGTTGTCTTGACTGTAACCTTAACACTGCCGTATGTTCAGCATCATCATTTGTACGTTAAAAGGCAAAAACATAAACGCCGTTTTGTCCAAAATTTTATACCAAGCACTGACATCGAAAAATAAATTGCTCAGCTGAATTCTGTTCATGATGGAACATTTAAAGAAAAGTAAAAGAAAAAAAAAACAATCAAACTTTTTGAAACTCTAATGAAGAAAATTAAAAACACCTGTTTTTATACTGTTTGTGCTTTATCATATTCTTAAATTTTGCTTTATGTACAACAAATGTTGGCAACATCTCTACCGTTTTCCAACACACATACCTGTACACGACGTTCCATCCATGAAGTCGTCTCTGAAGCCTGGTTTACAGTCACACTCGTAGCTGCCCTTGGTGTTGTTGCACACGGCGTTGACGCTGCAGTTGTGCAGGTCCATTTCACATTCGTCGATATCTACATCATCCAAATCAAACACAACCGTTCTAAATTACTGGTTTCACAATGTGCAAATCTGGCACACAAAAACACTGACATGCCTCAAATCCTCAGATACCACTAGGGTAAAATCAACTTTCTACAGGTCCCCTCCACTTCACTGTCGTTATGTGTTTAGTACTTTTGTTTCTATATTTGTCAATCTGTATTTTTTTTCTCTACCTGTAAATAAAGTGGAAATAACTGAGGAAGATATTAAAAAATGAATTTAAAAGGCTGAAGACAAAGAAAAGAGCTAAATTGTGGCGATTTCATCTCCGTTGAGAAAAAAACAATTCAGATAAGTAGGGTTATGGGGGGGGGGAGGGTTGGCAGAAATTGTGGAGACTATCGTAAATTACCCCAAATATCAGTGTCTGAGTCTCACAATTTAAAATTTTAAGATAATCTTAACTGCACCTTATACGGATATTTAATGAAAAAACTTATGTATTGCGTCCCCTCATTTTCGCAACACTGTTACGGCGTAACCAACTTTCTGTCCAAAGTTTTATCTTTGTATTTTGCAGGCTTATCTTTGTTTTCGTGCATGCAAAGAACACAATGCATACCAATGCATCGCCTGTTGTCAATGTACAAGGAGTAGCCAGATTCACAGCTGCAGTTGTAGTCCATGAGGAGGTTGTTGCAGATCTGATCGCAGCCGCGTCCACCACTGCTGGCTGGCTCGTCTTGGTACAGCTCACACTCGTCAATATCTGCAGGAAATTAGCAGTGAATCTTCAGGGTAACACAGTACGTCAATATCATTAACAATTAACGTGAGGTCCATATAAGTCTTTCATACAGCAAACTTCATTAAGTCATGAATACAGAATCACTGTGTAGTTGATTGATATAATCTATCACGACAGGGAATTGTGGGGAGGGGAGTTGAGGTGGTTAACCATAATTATTTCCTTTGGAGGAGGATGGTTGAGGTGGCTAAACACTCCCCTCCAAGTTCATTTCCTTGCCATTAGTTTCCAAATGTGTTAACGATGAGACCTCCTCATTTGACTCCATTTACAAAAATCTTGATTCAGAGAATGTACACATACTTGATTGACGGAGAACGCATAATTATGTGCTCAGTCATGTATTTTAGTACTGTTGAAAAACAAATTTTGACAGACCATACATCGTTGGTGCAAAATGGTCTCTACTCCTTTGCCAATGAACTTCATGTAGGATCATTTAAATCAATTTTCCATTCGCCTCTCAGTACATATACAACATCGTTCGACATTGTCTCTATTACCTGATGAATCCATAAGCCCACATCTGTACTAGGTAAGTCTTGGGCAGCACAGAGAGTAATACACCATGTCACATTTTGTTTACACTTGATGTTGTGGTCACGTGAAGCATCATGTGATGCAAACTGTTCTGGCCTGCATTGCAAGTACATCTCTTGCAGTCTGGGTCGCCCGTCGGTATGTCACAGGTGACGTGGTCTACAATCAAGTTAGTCTGAGCCAGTTATACGTAAATGAGCTAGTGGTTTAAAATTAAATGCTCAAACCAAGAAAGTCTTGGCCTACCTTGACAGAACCTGCCGTCACCCTCAAGTCCTTCAGGGCAGGGGCCACAGGTGTTGTTCAACGACGGTGGCGCTTCGTCAAAACAAGCCACGCCCATGAAACAGGGGCCGTCCTCACAGGCGTCGTAATCCACTTCACAGAACTCACCACTCCAGCCAGGATCACACTCGCATAGCACCACCTACATAGGAAACGATTGACAATGTAAACGTACATACTACACAATACAATGTGCATAACAAGCGTAACAACTTGATCTCTTTGATTGTATTGCTATTTGCTACCGACATTCACAAAGCCTATTTCAGGAAGGGTCTATCGGATTAGGAAATCCTCCGTCTTTGAGAAGGACACCTTTCTTTGAAAAAAAAAGAGTCAAACCTTCCATAATCTGCATTTTCGACCTAGAATGAATCAATAGCTTATAAGAATCATTGTTAAACTAGCAAACATCCAACGCAGCTTCTACACAGACCCATAATAAATTAATCGAGGAAGTAAGCAAAGCCTTGCCTGTTTAATCTGAGACCAGACGTTTGACAGCAACTTTGGGAGAAAAGGACATTATTTTTACAAATTAAGAAAGTCAGTCAGTCGGTCAGTACGTCTGTCAGTCGCCAGCACGTCTGTCAGTCGGTCAGTCAGTTGTTCATTAGTAGGACATTAGGTCGGTCACAGGAAAATAGGCTAGCCTTTGGGTCCCTCAGAAAACAATAAGCACTCACCCCAAAACGGTCTTCAACAACATCCGTGCCCATCACAAATTCATCCCACAGGCACGTGCCACCGTTCATGCAGTCACAGAGCTGTACGGTTGGTTCATGTGTTGCATTAGCCTTGCCATCTGTTGCAAGGAAACCAACCATGACCTTCGACTTGTCCGCTGGCGTCCAAGTGAAGAGACCACCTGTAAGATTAGTGGGCATGTATGCTTACTTCTGAAACTTGAACATCCAAAATTTGCTGTACTCATACTTTAATATGTGTTGTCTGAAGTATTCGCTTCCCAACAGGGTGGATTGAGTGGGCTATAGCAATATCGGGCAGATCAATACTAAAAGCCACTTTTTCAGAGGGTCACAGAAGCCCCAAATAGAAGAGAGTTGTGAGGGTTGTATATTACAATAAAATATACAAAATGAATATTTGGTTAGAGAGAAGACACAAATAGTTGAAAAGCATGGATATAACGTCTTAATTCCAATGGTTACAACTGAGGTAGGCTATAGCAGTGGTAGATCCAGGACTTTCATGACTGGTCCACTAGCTTTGGTTTTAAAGTCACGATACTTTTCAAGAGTGGATTGATAGGTGAGGTGTTGACGTCAACACATACAACGATCAAAGGTCTGTGGCCTTTCAAGATTCGCAACAATGAGTGGTGATATTATTCTTGGAACTTTGTGTAATTCAAGTTGGGATCATTTAACACCGGTTAGGTAGGGAGTGTTGGGGTTGGGGGGGGGGAGCTTGTTAGCCACCTGAATCGTTTTCTCCTGGCAAGAGCTATAGGTCGTGGGTTTAAGTCACACACAATTTAGCTGAGGTTTTTTTTTTATCATAGATTAATTTGACTGCAAAGCGTACACCGCTCTTATGAATATATTGCTGACGGAAAGCATAGCCAAATCGAACTACTTCGTAAAGGTTAATTGTAATTACCGTCTTCGGTGATGGATGCACCTTCAACTGGCTCCACCAATGAAAATATAACATCGTCTCCATCAGGATCCATGGCTTCCAGTTGTTCTGTGAATAGCACACCAACCATCACCCTAAAGGTATCCGAAGCCGTTATGTTTGGTGGATAGTTGGCTGCAAATTGTACAAAAAATAAGTACATTTTATTGCACCGCAGTAGAGTGCCACATAAATCCAATAATACCGGACATTTGACCTAAGCAATCACCGCAAAACCTTTGGCAGAACATTGGTTTTACAAATGACCACTAAACAAAATAAACAGTTTGTTTGTATGGAACCCTTTCTGCCATTTTTTTGTGTGATGTTCAACTGTAAATGAAATGATCATTTGCATGCACGATTGTCATGATATTGTGAGCACGTGTACGTGCGCTGTGTGAACGCCGATGATGCATGAGCATCATATCAGCGTATGGTGTCAACGATATCAAAAAGACTCTGCCCAACCCTTCCTTCGTAACAAATAAAGGGCTACTTATGAACCACAGGCTTTACTTACTTGCTGCACTTTCGCTTGCAGAATTCATTTCATTCAGCATCACTGTAGACTGTCCGATGCTTTCATCGTCTGTCGCCAGTGTGTCAAACAAACACATCTTGTTGTCTCCGCACAGCTCTTGAGCCTTTGCCAATTTTTCCGGAGTTGCAGCTGCGACAAGGTCTTCATAGAAACTTGGCACGAAGGAGTGTTCGTTTGATAATGCAAAAGTCTCGTCACCCACATAGTAGAAGAGAGAATTCGCTTCAGTGATACGCCCTGCATGCAGCCAATAGAAAAATATACATTTTTTAAAGAAAACTGAGGAAACTCTTGTGGCAAACAATATCTAATGCAGCGTCTGACAATATCCAACAGCTCCATAAAGAGTTTTGGATTATATAGATTCACGTTAATGTATGAGCACATACTGCCATCAAGTCAATGTGACCTTGGTTCCGTCATGTAGAATGCATTTTTGACTTGTACCTGATCGTGTGGGTATTCAGTGGAAAGTCTGTGTTAATTCTCTCCAAGCCCTTCCTGATCTACCTACGTTCTCGACTGAAGAAGGAAGTGTCAAAGATTTTATGGGGTATCCCGGATGAATGCTAAATGATCACAAAATCTAGATAACTCGGCAAAATAATTTCACAACAGTCACCAAGAGTTGGTGATTGACTTACAGGTTTCACCAAATGCATAGAAGTCACTTTCAATCATCTCTCCGTTTTCACCGGTGGCTGCTTGTATAGTACCGTCACGTCTTGTTGCATCGTTGCTTTGGTCGCCATCCCAAACACCTGTACACCAGACATTTAATCAATCATTCATGCGACGCAGACCGAGAACTACGGTCTAATTACGCAAGTATTTGAGAAGTGCAAAACTTTCCAAATTCTTGAAATCTTGCTTATTGGTTGAGTAAGTGACTTGAAGTTGGACTAGATGACTTCCATTGACTTGTGCACTTGTGAGAACATGTGAGGCCTTGACCTAATTTGTGTACATCGGACTGAAGTCGTATGTTGAAATGTTGTCCGCTGAGGCAATTAATTCTGTTTATATTATTAATGAGTAATTTGAGTTGTACTCACCCAGAAGTCCTTTGGTGTTTCCCATATATGTTTGCCCAAACTGGACAGTTATGTCTCCAATGCTGTTGTTTACTCCCACTGTAAACTGAATATCGCCAGGGAACATGGTGACCACTTTGTTAGTTGATGCATCCCTTTTGACAGTCACATTGCCAATTAGCAATCCTAAAGAGGATAGAAGACAATATAACTCACAACTACTTATCAAAAAGTCAGTGAGAAATTCTTGGTCTTTAATTATTTTCGCCATCAGTTCTAGGTTCAATGCATTAAGGCTTTTAAACCTAAGAAACCGCAACAGGCAATTGGTTGCTTGCTGCATTCTTAATACACAACTGAAAGGTATGACAGATAGGCCTATATGATGAAATATAACAGGCCCAACTGGGGACTCATATCAGGTAGTGTTCAATGAAAAATCACTGATTTAATTATGGGCTGGTCAGCCCAGATGTTGTAATTATAACTCTACTACTCATTTAGGGGGCGGGGCTACCAGGTAACATTTAAACTCCACCTACTGCGCATGTACCTGCTGTTGTAGGCGTGACAACGTCTCCATTGACAGTTGTTATCAGGTCATCGGCGTTCTGCCTTTTGTTTAATTTCACTTCAACCTGGTAAAAATAATAAAAATAACCACCTATTATCAAAATATGACAGAAACCTAGGCCATTATTTCCTTACAACTTAAAATATTTCGAAAGTGAGCGATCCAGAGCAAGACACGTGCGGAAAATGTGACATTTCTGATGTTTGCGTTGTGTAATACAAACCAACTACAGAGGATGTTTGAAGGAAAAGAAAAAGTAAATTTCAAAGATGACAACGTTTCTCTTCAATTAAATCTGTGAGTTTTAATATTCAAGAATTCCTCAAAAGTTCCAGATTTAAAGAAATACATAATAACCCGTAAAGACAATGACGCAAGGGATGCGATTCTTTCCAAATCTACAAAACACATTTTAAAATGATATCTCATTTTTTGGCAGGTGAATAGAGAACCCATAGCGTGTAAATTCATAAGTATTACCAAGTTCATAGCAACGTGCCAAAAAAGTTTGTCATATTAACTACGTGCTAGTTACATCTGGCAAATACTCAAACTGAATAATCGGGTGCAATTCAAAATCTACTAGTAGAAAAACATATTGAATTTTTGAAAAAAAAAAATTCTTGTTGAAAAGTAAAGTGTTACAAACCCTTCCTTCTCCAGGATACTCTGCAGCAAACCCAGAGTAGAAAGTTGCATCCGTGAGTTGACCACTTTCTACATTGGTAGCTCGCTGTGTCCGGCCTTGTAGTTCAAAGATTGTCCCTCCGTTGTCATCTTCAACGAGAGCCACTGTATATTCCCCCAGACCATTGAAGGTGTACTCAACTCCGTCCAGGGTTTTGATGTGGGGGTCTCCCCAGAACCAGACTTTGGGAATTTCCAGGAGAAAAAAGAGTGACAACATTTATTTTACTCAGTGCCTGGATTTTCGTTTGTTTTTCACTAGTTGTTGGTTTGAAATCAGAAAAAAAAATTCAAAGGTTTTTCATTTCAATGACTCTATAAGCCTTACACCAAGTAAATGAAAATTGGACCAACATGTCAGTAAAAATCCTTTGTCTCAATGAGTTGAGCATTTGCAACTGTAGAAAGCATTGATATAGATATATGACTGGACAGCCGAGATCTGACAAGCAAATAATTTTCTTTATCAACCATCGTCTGTGTAATAAAAGAAAATACTTATTCAGATTTCTCGATAATGCAAACTTACACCAAAATGGTGGTCGGTATCTCCGACAACCCATGGGCGGTCTGGAGGCGTAGTACAAGCCGCAGAGTGTAGAAGCCTGACAGCAGTAATACCGAGGCAATACTTCCAGATCTGTGTACAAACACAAAGTTTGTTTAGCACACAAAGTTTGTTTACGGAGCGTACCCCATTTCACCAATTAATGTATTCTCATTTTGTAGTCGATCAGATTCAATCGATTTTCAGTGTATGGGACAGCCTGAGAGCAGTTCTATGGTCAGCCGTAAAAAAATGGTTTCATTTAGGAAACATGCATAACTTCTGATAGCATGGAGCTATTTCAGATATTCTTTTTTTTTCATATTAGTGAAAGCATATGCTCGTTTGATACATATGCTATTGGTATTCAAATAAATTTGTTGTTTTAAGGGGAAACATCATTAATCTATGTCACTTTCTTTTTGCCTCACCCTGTTTATTGTGTTCATTGGGCATTTTCAGTTAAAAAAAATGGTTTTCCAATTAAGAAGAAGAACAAAAAAGAAGTTGAAAAGTTGAAATTTTGAACAACTATAGGCAAGATATGAACGGGGTGAGTGAAAAAAGAAAATCCATCGGGTGCCCCCTATTGTTTTAAGTTCTAAATAAAGCGCTTTCCAGATCTAGATTATGTTAGATCTAGATCTAAGTGTACCAGCTATCCAAATTCTGAACACAAACACCCCACACCATTTTCAACCTTGTCTACGGATCACAATAAAGCTGAGTGATATTTCAGCGAAACTAAATCTATTCACATATCAAAATCCACACTAGAACACTCTCATAAGTATGATAACTGGCACTTACACATGTATCATAACACATATATTAAAAAAAGTCTTTGCCCTGCCTTCTACCTTTGCTACCCCGAAGACTTATGTGAGTATTCTGATATCATTTTCAGGATACGACTGGGTTCATTTTTGCTGATAGTTTACGAACATAAAATGTGATCCGTTGACAAAGTTAAAAAAACGGTGTATGTGTACAACATATCATAACTAAAAAAAGTACATTTGAATGATTCTTAAAAAAAATAAAAATAAAAACAAACACTTATTTGTATCGCTTCATATTCCAAATCTTGAAAGCGCTACCTGCACAACTTAAACAAAATTAATAGGGTTAACCATTTGGGTTTCCCCTTTTTGACTCACCCTGTACAATAATGTGGAGAACAGTTTCATTATTAAGGTTGACTGCCCACATGATGAACTTGTTAGCCAAATATGTGGGGGAAATAGATTTTGTCAACCGGTCAGGAACCCTTTTCAGGGTCTCAAGTACTCCTACAGTAAAACTCCACAGATAACAGGAATCCATCACTATTAACCCATCCAGTCTGTGACAGATCCTTGGCTGGCAGGAGTCCCTTGAAAATGGAACTTTTGATTTTTGTCTTTGACAAGATTCATATTTTGAAATAAGAGGAGATGGTTGATGCCTCGTGCCAGCAAACCCCGCGTAGCAATATCCAGCAAAAATTATTGATTCATCTCCAAGATATTGCCTCCTAAATCCCCAAGAATCAATGTCTCAGAAACTTTGGAGGACCATGTCTCAGAAACTTTTGGGCGACAACCCTTAAATGTTTCATCTGTTCGTGATACATATTAATAAGGTAGGCCTACTACCAGAAAATGATTGAGCCAAAATCTGAGTCGGTGGCCGTGGAAGATGCCCGGACTTTAGTTGAGTTGAATAGGGAATGACCCATCAGATCCGTGAAATCGACGTAAGACATGACGACATTTCACTTTGTTTACTGATTGCTTTTCCATGGGAGCTAAAGGTGGGTCTTGACCCAATAAAGCTGCCATCGTACTTGTAAACAAAGCAGCATGTGATTATGTCGCAGGTCTATGGCCTCCAGCTGGTCTAAACGTAACGTTGCAGAGGTGTTGCGGACATAGGTTTTTGCCTATTAAGTACTTACCATACCACCGGTTGAACCGATCAGGTGTATAAAACAAGGGACTGACTGGATAATGTTCAAAGACGGAAGCAACTATTGCATTCCTGACGCCCCGGAGAAGACTCCATGTCCATGTGCTGTAGCAGCATAGCGGGCCCGGAGTATTAGGAAACGTAAACGTCCTGACATAGCAAACAGCAGCTGCACGAACATTACATTCAATTTAAAAACAAAATGTAGAATTAGTTATTTCTTTAGTGTAGAAGGGTTTATACGTAAAACAATAGAGGATAAAATATTCAATTTTCTTTGCAAACAAATGGAGATGTAGGACCTTAAGGTTGAGTAAACCAATGGAAAAAAACTATGGTGATGGTTCTTAAAAGAACCAGAGGTATCAACTCGACGTTCCCGTCAGTTTGCTCTGACCGCCTTCAGCTTTCTTTCATAATTATCTATACCATGCAAAGCCTCGAATCTTACTTGAGTATACCATTTTGATTTTCAGAAATTGAACTGCAGAATCAATTTTGAGATTGTAAGAAATACATTTGTGTGTATCGTGTCTGCTTTTCGTCAAGTTTGAGATTCCCAATATCTCGGCACCCAGTTTTTGGAAGAAGTAAACTCACAGAAAAGAATGCCTTGGCTATCTTTGTCGTGAAAGTTTTTGACTCATTCAATAGTTTTAGAAGTGTACGGCATGTGTTTATTGTTCTTTGCTTTATAAAAGAACCGCACAGTCAAAGTCAAGATAACATGAAGAGTCAACCACTGTCTTTTCATTAACTGTTCACTGTTCATTCGAATATGATGGTGGGGGGGGGGGGGGGAGTGGATACGCTATACTCACCGACTGATGTGCTGCTTCCTGAGTTTGGGAGGAAATAACTGTAACCAATGTATGTCCACCTTGGGTCCGCACTTGCCTGGAACCAACTGCATGGACAAGTGTGAGCAGTCGCAAACCAGTAGGAAAGGATAAAATTATCAACAACCTGCCTGCTGGACCAGTTCCTACAGAACAAGCGGGGATTGACGAAATTGTCCGGTAGGCTGTCCAGTCGCTGGACCCAGCGCCCGTATATCCCGGTATTTCCAACCATATTTCCCGGGCGGAAACGCAAGTCACTCGGTATGTCCAGGTAGAATTTGTTGCCATATTGTCCGCAGGTGAAGCCCTGGATGACGTTGTCGTTTGCCAAGAGCTTTTCGTTCCAGTTCATGCCGCAGCGCTCGTAGTTGAAAATAACATAGCCATGAATGTAATCTGTCACAAGCACAGCTTGGAAAGAGTTGGTACTCTGAACAGAAAAAAAAGAAGAACATAAAGAGAATACGTTGTTGATCGCAAATGTTTCACATATCAGTTCAGTACAAGTAACCTTAACTTACCACACACACACACACACACACAAAAATCAATAAGTTTGTTTAATGTCCAAATCCGGTTGGAATATAAATAATTTTGTATAATATGTAGTTTTGTACTTGATGTCGATTTGACTCAACAGTGTAGAACCAAATGCATGGTCATGCATAGTTTGTTAGATAAACTATCGTATTATTCTATTCCCATTCTGTTAAACTATGCTTGTTTTGCGTTACATGTTTAGCTTTTAAAATTCACAATTATCTGCTTCCGATTAAGAAGAGACACATTAAACGTCTCACTAGGACCCATGTGTTTAGGTGTTATTTGTGTTCAAACAGTTTGCCAATTGTATGTGTATGTAAATAATGATGTAGGGTTTCTGGACACTTTCTATAAGCCCTCTTTATTTATGCAACATGCCTTGTACCCTTGCATAAATCAACATTTGTATACAACAGTCATTGTGGCGTTGTGTGGCCAAATATGCAGAACATAACAAATCAGTGCAAGGAGAAAGCTCTTAGCTACGAGCGTATCATGACATTTTGTATGTTTTAATGAGTGTAAAGAAAACAAATTCCATGATTTAGATCGTGAATTTATAATGCATTTTCGCCTAAATCAATGCTAGCAACGCCATTCTTGGCAAGGGCTATAGAAGAAAAAATGAGACTAATACAACATCAGAAAAGTTGGAGGCAGAAATTGATAGTCCTGTTAATCAAGGAAACATCACAGAATGGAGGGAAACATATTAGGCTAGGAGTTTCTAGAGATCTACACAGCAAATGGGGGAAAAAAAACTATTAGAGTAGCTCTTTGCTTGCATCTCGGCACAGCTAGAGGGTATGGGTGAGAGGAAGCAGAGAGCCTAGCTGCCACTCAAACACCCTTACAGGAGGAACTAAATCAAACTAATTAGCGGAACAATTTCCTTGGACATATCTGTGGAATAGACTGAGGGTGGCTAGAGACCTACGGTGGGAGATGGGTTTTAATGATGAGCCCAACTGTTCAACATCTAAATCTAACAGTGAGACATGATTTAAATCAAACAAGCCTGTCACAAATACTTACTTTATCCGGTGAGAGGGCTTCTACATAGCGCCACGTGATGACAAGAGCCCAGGCTGCATTAAAGCTGCCATACCGGGCAGACACGATGCTACTCAAGGTTGATAACATGGTTGAGCCACTGCCATCATAGACCTGTGGAAAAACAAATGCACGAGATCGTTCTTAACCACTGCTACGTCTCTAAAGCGCGCAAAGGGTGTATGCATGTTTGTAAGACAAGGGTAAGGGTCTTTGGCATAATCAAGTACGAATCTGCATCGAGCCTCAAATAAACAAAGACAATTGAATTTTTGGATTCTAGATGCTCTGTGGTGCGATCTGAGGCAATTTCTGACCACTTTAAGCAATGTTTTTTTTCAGGAAAAGATGGCTGTGTACCCATTGCCTGCCTTTATTGCGATGTCACATAAAAAAAAGAAAAAAAAAAGTTTTTTGGGGGGGGGGCATGGCCCCCTTTGGCCCCCCCCCCCCCCCCTGCATCCGCCCTTGACCACAGGCAGCGAAGTGGCGCCATCTCACAAAGCCGGTGAGGAGATAGAAGACTTTTTTCCTCATGCATTGCAAATAGCATAACCTGCTCTCAATATCCTAATGCATATGTACTTTAAGCTATTGACAATACAGAGTGTTCCTTTGATTCCAATTGTGCAAAATAAAATCCTTCATGGCATGTAACTCGAAGATAGCTCTGGCTACTACAAACTCGTTTTGTTCAGTTAGGTGAAGAAGATATTTCAAAGCCTTGTTTTATTTACCAAGCCACTTCATAAAAAAGAGAGACTAGTCAGAGGCCACAAACTACTCAGCTTTGCTATTCATGATCTGTGTCAAGATTAGTTTTGTTCGATTAATTTCAAACGTGCTCAGTATGATTTTGAGATTTGCATGACGGATTGCATGCGGTGACATAGGATTTTCTGAAAGATGGACAGGGTTTACTGTCCTAGACGACACAACAACACAAAACTGCGACAAACTCACCTGAAAGAAGACATTCCTTGTTTGAGAAAACCTTCTGCTGTTGACGTCCGCCCAAAAAGGAGCTATCGTTTTTGTTGGGCCCCTGAAGAAAGATTTTCTGGTGCCTGGGTAACCTCGTCTGTTCAGACGTTGCGCATTGGACAAGACAATGACACCATTATCTGTGAACTGTATCAACAAACAATCAAAGACGTGTCAAGACCGTGAAAAAAGGTTTTAAATTATGTTATTGGATGATAATTATATCAAAATTGGAAGGTGCGTCCAATTTCATTACACCGCTAAGAACACATTAGTGTTTAACAAAATCCCTTGTCCATTTCACAGAGCCAGCTAACTTCAAACCAGGCCCTAATTTGTGTCCAATAACAACATAAATCTACATGCGCACACTACAGGTAGCGTGAGATCTACTTGATTTTTGTAATTTTTGTCACTACACTTGGCACAATGTCTGTGCTAACTGTTTATCAGCACCTTGAAACTGGCCCTTGGTGAGAAAAACCAACTGATGTGACCTGTGTCTTTTCACACAAGTCCAACGAAATTGCCATTTTTTTCAAAGTACTGACAAACGTTATAAAGGTACACATTCTCAACCCTGGGTTTCTATTAAACCAAATTACAAATGTCCACACAATACCAAGCTTTTTCTGCCGAAAATACCACGATGGGTAGTTCTGAATGGCACACTTAAGGTCAGATGCACAATTAAAGAAGCGGTTCCTATGAGTTAACCCCAGTAAACCGTGCGTTACCGCGCGGTAAACCGAGATGTTTTTTTTTCCCGGGTTGGACGTACTTGTCTTGTCCGACCGTCTTCTAGGAAGCGGTATTCAAAATGATTTATTTTGGGCATTAAGACTAGTTGCTGTCCTCAACCTTTTATTGCTACCTCCACCACCGATCAAAAATTACATTTTTCCCCAGAAATGCAAGGAATACATTCTATTAACTTCAATAAAGCAGAACGTCCATATATATTTTACACAAGAATGGAAGTCCCACATATTCTTGTCCCGTTAGTGTTGTTTGTTAGAGTAAGTTCGGCATCCAATGGTCAGTATGATTGTACATAAAATGAATGTTTGTTACAGCCAAATAGTAGGCACACGTGTTTTGCATTATTATAGTACAGTACAGTGCTACTGCGTGTGATTAAACAAATAAGGCATACTTAAGCCGTGACCTCGAACTTCAATGCAGGTGTTCTATTCCAAAACAAAATATGCATTTTCCTCTTGTTTTTCATATGTCATACTTACATAGATTGTCTCATGCAGCTCATTGCAGTAAGGAAAGAAATTTGGTGGGCTGATGGTTCGTGAGATCAAATCTTTGTTAGACGACCGTGATCGCTGTTTAGACAAAAGGGGATTATTTTTTTGAATTCAGTGCGCCATCGATATGATTCAAATAGTTAAGAAAACATTGTTTTAAAAAAACAACATATCTATAAAAGAAATCCTCCCGATTCTTCAACCAACCCATAGACGTGCATATACACCTATAGTGACCAAACTATAGTGATTGTAACTAACGTAAGAGAGAAGTACCTCCCTGCATTTGCCAATGTGTATTAAGTAGTCTCTGCTTTATAACAAAAAAAACCAATAAAAACGTAATTTGGAGTAAGGACACTATGTATTCCAGTACTATCGACCTGTTCCTAACTAAAACAGGTTGTCTGCAATTTCAAACAGGGATTCAGCAGTTATGTAATGATTTTCACAAATGGTTAATAAATGAACACGTATTATACATTGCATTTATTCCCTGGCTACTCCATATCCATAAACACAAATAGTGCTGCGATAGTTTGGTACAGGGTGTAACAGGTACATGCGGTGATGCACCTTATCCAGCCATTTGTGATCGTGCTCCCTGAAGAGATTTATTAAATTGTAACTGTTGAATGGGATGGTGCCAGACTATCTTTGTGTTCCAAACTTCACTTTCACTTATTTTTTAAATGTGGCTTGATAAGGTATATTTAATCACCGATTTTCAATTATTCATCAGAACTGACTGATACTGAATTGTAATTTATTTTGTGTTATTGCTGTCTTTTCTATTCGCGGGTCCAAGAAAGGAAGAATTTACCCTTCTTTTTGAATATAATTGTAAGGTGTCCACTTAGAATGAGGTTCCAAAGTTGATACAAATCAAATATTCAGAAACTCATGCTCAATGAAATGAAAGTTTACTTACAGGTTGTAGTTCTTGTGAAAGACGCCTATCGCCGACAGCGGCTCCAAAAGGAACAAAATTGCCCTCTGTTTTCGAAAAGGGCAAAATCATTGGTAAAACAACTTAAATAAGTCCATTCAAATCTCCATCGTTTCTTCCAAAAGGCTAGCATTTGACTGTAGTATATGCTTGTAACAGAAACACCCTTTTTCAGCTCCAAAAAGGATATCAGTCATTTTTTTTTTAGGAGTAAAAGTAAAAAGCAGTTGCAAACTCGACCCAGACATTTATATATAAAGTTGGCTCTTTTTGGCTTCACAAATTTGCCATGAAATAACAATATTTAACAAAAAAATAACAGCTGTGAACTAGAAAAAAACACCCTTTTCTCATTAATGGGGTACCAACACCTATGGATTTCTTACCATAGACACTGAATGAGAAGCTCCTTGAAGTACTGCAGATTTCAACCATAACATTGCAAGTCACTGTGTGAGATCCAACACCAAAAGAGATGCCTCCGATCAGAGGCACAGCATTTCCGTTCTGATTGGTACAACTGATGGCTTGGTCGTCCAAGTATCTGCCTGTTACTGCAGGCCACGAAACTAGTACATCATTCTGTCCAGGCAGGGTACACTGGTCAACAACCGATGGCACCGTTATGCGGGGCTTTGCTGTGGAGACAAATGAAGTATTGACTGAATGTAAGTCTAGAGGTTCAGAATTGTTTTTCAAATACTCACATAAAGCCACATGTGGAAAACACAATCTTGTTACATTTTCAAATAAACCACAAGAGGGGTCGAACTCACCAGTTGCACAATAATGATATTTTATTTAGAAATGGTACCCGAGGTAGACATTTCTCTAGGGCTGTACGCACACTTTTTCCAAACTTTAATTTCCACTGACCTCTATTTTAACTTGTCCTACCACAAGGAATGTTGGTATATTTCTGTTTTGGACCGAAATCAATCACTCTAGCCTATTTGCGACTCTACAATTGTTGCCTTGAAGTAGGAGTCGTGACATCAGGGAGACAATGGAATGTCTCCCTAATTTCCACTCTCTTCCAAAGGTATACCGAAAAAGCTATGACTAAAAAAACGTCTCCTTATAGGTATATCAATAGAAATTTATAGTCGAACAAACGTATCGACTGACCTCCAGATTACCGTTCTGACACGCTACCAACTAAGCTTTGAATACGCTTTAGTCACGCGCCTCAATTAAAACCTTAACATGGTTAATTTGACAGATTGTATATGCACAGAGCTGTATTTGGTATGATAATAGCCTAGCAATGTAACATCCAACAATGAATGCGATTATTTTTTCAAAAAGCGCATTGAGCCTGATTATGGTCACGATGTACTACAGGTCGTCCTAAAAATAATGGTTCCTGTAAACCCCGCCATTTTCGCCAATTTACAACCGGAATTTACTGAAATGTTAACACGATCTTCAAGGTTACAGATTTAGCTTGAGAATTCCAGGTTTTTTTTTTATTAAAGATTGCTTTTGTAAATCCAGAGATATGTGTGAAAGACCGCGAAGCCAAAAAAAACAAACATTTTCTGCTACTGTTAGGAGTGCTTCAAAGATCAGACAATGCCAGTATGGCTCTTTTGATAAGATTATCTCTATAGGTGTAAGACAAACATTCCATTCACACGACAATTAGGGTTTAGTTCTTATAATGAAACAATCAAATAGCACAAACAGGTTAACTTCTTTAAAGCTTCAATGAAAGAGTTCAATAAAATATATAAATATTGCACACTCTGCTTATTTTTTTTAAATCACTAGCAGTAAACTGATTTGGTTTTAGACAAGGACTATACCGAATTTAAATGCTTCACAGAAAGTGGCAAAAAAATAAGTTTCTTGTTTTTGCCGCTATTCAAACACATCTTTAGATTTTCAAGAACAATCGCGATGAAACAAACGGTCTTCTTGAGCCAAATCTTTTACCTTGAAGATGGTGAAAGCATCCGCAAAAAAGGACGAGTTTACATGCACCATTTTGTTCAGTACGCCCAGTAATTAGTCAACATCTAAATTTACATCAGGGATGCCACTCAGAAGCATTGAAGTTAACCCGTGCAAGCCGTGGGTTAACTCAGGTGCCCACAATCTCTGTGTTAAGCTGTGACACACCTAGTACATGTGCAGTCTGGAGAACTCCACATGAACATGAAAGTAATGAATTTAAAGGCCATCTAATTGTAAAGAAATGTCTCTGAAAATCATTTTCCCCATCAAATAACAAGCTCAATCGGATCTCGAAAGCTGCAATCCAACACAATTGTGTTGACCTTTAACCCCATACCTGTAGGTCAGATGAAGAGATCACCATGGACATTTTTTAATGTTGAACCTGGGCACAATTGTTGACAGCGCTACTTTTGTCATTTGAGCGTATTTGAAATTTGACGTTATTGTAACCTTGACCCCATCATGACCTCTGACCCAATTGGAAATGTTGGGCCGGGCTACTGATACCTTTGACACAGTTTGGTTGCAATCAGTCAAAACATGTAGAAGCAATAGACAATGTCAACGTTTGTTACTAACCAACTAGCAAACTAACTAACGTACAGACTAACAGAGAGACATAATGATTTGTAGGGGTGCTACCCTCAGCAAAACAAAATTACAGAGTAGGTGAAACTCATGCAATACATTTGGCAGCATTTTCTTCACCTTGACTGTATACTTGAATCTTGGATTATTTCTTACCGAATACATGGAAATCGAATGCCCCCACTGCTGTGCAACCAGCATTATTGGTGACAACGCAGGTGTGGACGTGTGTATAGTCCTGCAAGTACCACCAACCCCCTGTGAGCGGCATGGAGATTCCCCACGCTATGCAGACGATTTGGTTGTTGTCGCTGTGCGTGGCGGTCACCAGGGGCCATGACACCTGGGCATACACCCACCATGAGACTGCACAACGATTGTCGACAACTGGCAGGTTAAGAATCGGTGATTCTATGTGGGTAAAAAAAAGGGACAATCGTTACATAATAAATTATTATTCAGCAAAATTTTCCGCACAGTGTTGAATGCACTTGGGCAACGACACGCTAGACCTTTACGAAGCACCAACACGAAAACCGTGTTTTTGTATTACTTTGAAAACAAGTACATCCAAATGAAAGAACTCAATTTCCTCTGAAATTCGAATTGAAATTCGAACCAGTCATCAAACCCCGGTAAGCCCGGTGGTCGAGTGGTCTGCACTAGTATGCAGGATGTCGTGAATTCGAGTGATTTTCTCTCATATTTCACTCGGAGGATATCACGCTTAGTATACAGTGTTTATACGTTGGTGAAGGGCAGAGCCTAAATTTGAATTTACACCACCCCAACGTAAATTCCATCTTATGATTAAAGACACAAATCACAAGTGGACAACAAATAATTGAGTACTGGACCACAGGTTAAATAAATCAAAAGCATGTTTTGGATGGCGCCGTGATCCAAAAGCTGTAGGCCACAGAGCAGAGCACAAGTGCATGGCGGCGATGGTGCTCAGAAGCTATAATCATCTTCTCTTTCAGTGACGAAGAGGGTACTTATGCCCTGACCCCAAGGAGGTTAAAGGATGATACAATGTTACCAGATAACATACACTGTTACATTAACCAAACTTTAATATATATATATTTTTTTTACTTACGTTGGACAGTGAACGAGAAGCTTTTTGAATCTTCACAACCATTATTGATGGTGACCTGACAGGTCACGATGTGAACACCCACACCAAAGGCGATACCGCCACTGAGAGGCACGGCAATTGCTCCTTCAGTGCATATGATAGCTTGTCCGCCCAGGTCGGTACCAGATACTGCAGGCCAGCTCACAGTGGCGGTAGCTAAACCGAAATCAGTGCACTGGTCGTCCACGTCTGGCACCGTTAGCGATGGAGATGCTGTGGATAACAAGTACAAATCAAAACTTCTCGTTGTACAAAGTTTACCCAATATGTCTCAGTTTCATCCAAAACCGACCACTATGGACTCCCTATACTGCCTTAACACTGCATGATTTTATGGAATCATCTGGGAATAAATACACTGCAATACGATGTAGTAAAAGTGCCCATCGTTAATTCAACTGTAATTTTCGCGGGGAACTGTTGATGGAGCTAATAGGCTTACTAATGATGGGAGCCTGGAGTAGGGTTCTTTCGTTGTATGTGGGGAAAAAAGACCCTGGGCTTCCCTTAGCTAGCTCTACTCAATATTTTTTAGCTGAGGACACTTTTTTTCTACTACAAGAATTAGCCTTGCCCTACTTCTGCACGCTTGCTTGGATTGAAAAGCAGTATGCGATATCCCTTTACACAACATACTAAGTTAATGGAGCTACAGGTCTCACCTACAACAGCAACTGCGAAGGTTTCTGATGCCATGCAACCACCACTATTGGTAACTGTGCAAGTTACGGTGTGAGTTCCTAGAGGGAAGTTACCTCCAACCAGAAACACAGACAATGCACCCGATGTACACTGAATGATTTGACCGTTGGTGTTGGTGCCAGTTACTGTACTCCATAACACTCGAGTTGTCACCTGATTCGGATCGGTGCAACTAACAGGGACCACAGGCACTGAAATTGACGGTGAAGCTATCGGGTGAAACAAAAAAGACACAATGAAGGTGATCTTCAAAAACATTTAACAGGATTTCAACATTTGCTTTAAATTTTATATCCTGTCAGAGGCAAAAACTTCCACGAACTGTTCCTTTCTATTTTTTTTTACCAACTGCATTAGAAAAACATACACCACTACAAATATAATGTTTGATACCTGATACAACAAACGTGAAGCTGTTTGAGCCTGAGCAACTATTGGTATTGGTAACGCTGCACGTGATTGTGTGCGATCCTACTCCAAAGGTGCCTCCAGAGATCGTCACTCCAGTTCCATCTCCAGAATCAGTACAAGTGATGCTTTCACCCTCAGTATTGGTGGCAGTCACAGTGGTCCATGTCACAGTAGCTGTAGAAGAGCTTTCATCGGCACAATGTGGACCCACGCTGGGCACAGTCACAGATGGAGAAGCTGTATCAAACACAATAGCCAATGACCAATGTTGACCGATTTTCAAAGTTGGGAACATGCAAGGTTGAAAGAAAATACAACATTTGGACTTGAACCTGCGGTCTTTGGAATATCGTACTAGTGCTCAACTGAGCCCTATTTTGACAGTCTTCGAACTTGTCAATGTTTTTGCCCAGCAAGAAGCCATCAATCTACATGCGCCATGTAGTCAGGGATCACACCAAAATACACATTACACAATGCTTACAACATTCTGCTAAGCATTCAGGCGTACAGGCATCACTCATGAAGGATATATTGGCTGTATTGCGTCACAAATTAGCGCACCACAAAATAATATATGTAAGAAAGGGAAACGGACTGGGAGCCAACGCAATGCATGTTAGGTTGAACGTTAGGTGGAACGTTAGGCTATATATTAGTTGACTGTGGGACTCAAACTGCCATAAAACTGAACTGATGTTTAACCAGCTAAGCTATTAAGCTGTATGGTGGTATCCCAGTGTCTTGGTCAATGCTGCCTAATTTGAAGAAAAAAAAAATAAAATAGGGGATCAATTTTCACAATACATTTGGCAGACTTAATGGTTCTAGACATGTTCAATACCTGCTACAGCAAACGTGAAGCTATTGGAGCCTGTGCAACTGCCAGAATTAGTTACAGTGCACGTGACTGTGTGTGATCCTACTCCAAAGGTTCCACCGGTGGGTGTCAAACTGGTTCCATCTTCAGAATCACTGCAAGAGATGCTCCCTCCCGCAGCATTGGTGGCAGTTACGACTGGCCAAGTTACAGAGGCCGTAGATGCACCAACATATGCACACTTCGGACTCACCGCTGGCACATTCACAATTGGTGTTGCTATATAAATGACAATTGATCAGCATCATGATGTCGCACGACGAAGAGCTCTTTCAAATGCACGTAAATGAATAAGTGAAAAGACAAATTTCAAGGGATCCGGTCCTTATAATTCAAAGGAATTTGAAAACCGCTAATGCCATATTTAACACTTTATGCATTACAGATTAATGCTCTGGTCGTCTCCACTTTTATTTCCTCAGTAAACTAAAACATGTGAGGTATTAAAGCTGGAATAAATAACAGTAAAAGTAAAAAAAAGTTCACTTGAATGTTGTGAGTTTTGAGTATACGATATTTGTTTTTTTTAGGAGGCAGGGGAACAAGTTACGGACACGAATTTGAGGCAAGGCCCTTTTGCAAATTATTTGCTATCTTTCAGGTAATAATAATGACAATGACAGGGTTTATATAGCCCTTTTAACTAAGATCAAACCGCCTATATTATCATTACCTCTTATCACTGTGCCAATTAAACATTCCAAATACTATGCCAGCTCCCTGGGGAGTAAACAGTTCGATGCAGCCTTCTAGGCGCAAGGAAGCTAATTCAATCACAATGACTATCTCTGCCCTCACACAGTGCCTTGCCCAAGGGCACACGCACCATAATCCCAGGCTGGACTAGAGCCCACAGCCTACAGCTTAAACTGCACACTACGAACCCAAGGCCCTTAACCACTCGGCCACAACACTCATACCGTTTTGATGAGACATTCAAATTCCTCCTGATAATTAGTCAGTCCGTTTGCATTTACTCACAACTATTTACCAACAAAATCAGATAAAGACTCAGCTCTAGCGCTTTAAATTATCATTTTTCAAAAAAAGTTTCCCAATTATTTGACCAAAAATTATACCTGATACGAGAAATGTGAAGCTATTAGAGCCAAAGCAACCCTCAACATTGGTAACACTGCACGTGATTGTGTGTGATCCTGCTCCAAAGGTGCCAGCAGAGGTCGTCAATCCAGTTCCGTCTCCAGAATCAGTACAAGTGATGCTTCCACCCCCAGCATTGATCGCGGTTACAGTAGTCCAAGTCACAGAAAGTGTGGTCGCACCAACAGCTAGACACTGCGGACCAACAGTCGGCACATTCACAGTTGGTGGTGCTAAGAAAACAAAGTAACAATTCAGTATAAATATGCAATTCGATGCTTACAGGGACATGACCCTTCATCGTGTCCAAACTGTATGACGTTTTTACAATCGTTAGAGAAGAGAAAGCTTAAATCTGATCAGAATTGTGTATGCACAGTTTCCAATTGTTCACAGTCAGTATTGACAGTCTTACTGTAACGTGTAACTGTTATAGCGTTGTCCCACTCAAATAAGATTTAATAGCTAGTGCGCAATGAGAATTGATTTGCCCAAAAGTAATGTTTCATGATTTAGAACCTGAAGGCAAAAAGTTCGCAGTTTGGAAATAATATTTATCCATTACGTAAAATTGTCAGTGATAAAGAAATTATGAATGATAATATACAGAATTTATATGTAACTATTTAATGTACTGGATGCCAATGGCATAAAAATGGTCAAATAAAAATTGCAACCAGTTATCATGTGTAAAATGTCGGTTATAATGTAAAATAATTTTGTTAAATTGAGATGTGAATTATGTGTTTGTGCAAAGCTTACTACATTGTGTATACTACCAAAGGAACCATTCATAACATTACCGTTAAACACCCTGTCCGAAGTGGTTTGGTGCAAGCCTTTTAAAACAAGACATAATACATTCAATAAACGAGTAATATTTACCACATGTGGTTGATACTTCAGTGGTGGTTGGTCCTGGACTGGTGGTTGGTCCTGGAATGGTGGTTGGCCCTGGAGGATTAGTTGGTCCTGGAGTGGTGGTTGGTCCTACAGCGGTGGTTGGTACTGGAATGGTGGTTGGTCCTGGAGGGTTGGTTGGTCCTGGAATGGAGGTTGGTCCTGGAATGGTGGTTGGTCCTGGAATGGTGGTTGGTCCTGGAGGGTTGGTTGGTCTTTGAGTAGTGGTTGGTCCTGGAGTGGTGGTTGGTCCTGGAATGGTGGTTGGTCCTTGAGGGTTGGTCGGTCCTGGAATGGTGGTTAGTCCTGGAGTGGAAGTTGGTCCTGGAGTGGTGGTTGGTCCTGGAATGGTGGTTGGTCCTGGAGTGGTTGTGGGTTCTAGGGTGGTGCCCATTTCTAAAATGGTAAATCAAATGGATGACGTACTTGTACTTACCGGTAGGTATTGATTTTTAAACTGACTATAGTTATAGTAACATCCAATAAAACATAAAATTACTGTAACATTTAAAACAAAACATGACATTCCAATATTCATTATACATATAAAAATCAGCCATCTGACAAATCTTAAACTTGATTTCAACCGACAAAATACATACATATGAACGTATGGTGAGCATAAGCTTCTTGAAAGCAAGCCGTCTTCCGTACAAAAAATTAATTACATCGTAATGCGTATGCACTTTCCATTGTACATCATTTTACATATCTTTCTGTATGTTCAGACATAATCGACCGTTCCTGGTTGTTTGGTTAAACAGCTCATTAATTTCAAAGGGACTTGGACACACTATCTACGGGTTCTGAATCACTAACTGTCATTTAAAACAAACCAACTTGAAGTAATGCTGATTTTTTTTTGACAACGTGATGAGAACTCCAAGTTAAAAGTTACCGGTTACATCAACCCAAAAAACTTGACAACAAAATGTGGTTAAACCTATATCTTATTTCAAAATGGGTAAATTACAAATAAAATCTTACCGATTACATCGAATGTGAAGTATGCTGATGCCGTGCAACCACCATCATTGGTCACAGTGCAGGTTATATTATGAGACCCTACTGGAAAGTCTCCTCCTGTGACTGTCACATTAGTTCCCCCTGCATCATCCGTACAAGTTATTGCTTGACCATCTGAGTTGGTGGCGTTCACTTGATCCCATGACACTGGAATTGATGCTTCCCCCGTTGCAATGCACTCGTCACCAACAGTTGGCACGGTCAAGACGGGTGTTGCTGTGAAGCAACAAGACATACTCCATTTATTATTCCAATAATACAGTTACACTCCAAATAATCAAATTACTCCATTGATTAATAAACAATCCAAGCAGTAAAACTATGCATACTTCTAATTGAAAGACTTCCTGTTTAATATGCATTGGTTCCCCTCATCAAATTTGGAATGAATCAATTTCAGCGATTATTTTGATACTGTTTGAGGGCTTTTTGGGCTAGTATTAATAATGCAATGTCGAAATTAATGAACAGATAAACAAGTCCAAGTTCACTGCATCATACAAATGTTTACATTATGAACATGTTTTGTGAATAATTTCATACAAGATAAGACCAGCCAAACTAAAAAAACTCATTCGTACTCGGTCGTGTTCGATGTAAACAACCAGTTTTTTTTTTCTCGTCTTTTCTCGGAAATGGTGAAACATAATGTTCGCTTCCTTTTAACTAGATGTTTGAAATTGGATAAGTAAACAATCGAAATCATTTTTTTTTTTTTGGGGGGGGGGGAAAGATTGCAGGACCTAGTACCCCTTTAAATCATATTTGAAAAGGTGTCAATTACAAATAAAATCTTACCGATAACATCGAACGTGAAGTATGCTGATGCCATGCAACCACCATCATTGCTCACAGTGCAGGTTACATTATGAGACCCTACTGGAAAGTCTCCTCCTGTGATTGTCACACTGGTTCCTCCTGCATCGTCCGTACAAGTTATTGCTTGACCATCCGAGTTGGTGGCGTTCACTTGATCCCATGACACTGGAATTGATGCTTCCCCCGGTGCAATGCACTCGTCACCAACAGTTGGCACGGTCAAGACGGGTGTTGCTGTGAAGCAAAAAGACAATACTCTACTTATTATTCCAATAATACAATTACACTCCAAATCATCAAATCACTCCATTGATTAAAAAACGATCCAAAAAGTAAAACTATGCATACTTCTAATTGAAAGATTTCCTTTATAATATGCAATTGTTCCCCTCATGAAATTTCGAATGAAGCAATTTCAGCGATTATTTTGGTATTGTTTGAGGACTATTTGGCCTAGTATAATTAATGCCATGTCGAAATCAATGAACAGATTAACAAGTTCAAGTTCATTGCACCATACGAATGTTTACATCATGAACATGTTTTGTGAATAATTTCAATCAATATCCCACCAGCCAAACTAGAAAAACGTATTCGTACTCGGTCGTGTTCGATGTAAACAACCGGGATTTTTTTTCGTCTTTTCTCGGAAATGGTGAAACATAATGTTTGCTTCCTTTTAACTAGATGTTTGAAATAGGATAAGTAAACATTCGATATATTTTTTTTTTTTAGGGGGGGATTTCAGGACGTAGTACCCCTTTCAATCATATTTGAAAAGGTGTCAATTACAAATAAAATCTTACCGATAACATCGAACGTGAAGTATGCTGATGCCATGCAACCACCATCATTGCTCACAGTGCAGGTTACATTATGAGACCCTACTGGAAAGTCTCCTCCTGTGATTGTCACACTGGTTCCTCCTGCATCATCCGTACAAGTTATTGCTTGACCGTCCGAGTTGGTGGCGTTCACTTGATCCCATGACACTGGAATTGATGCTTCCCCCGTTGCAATGCACTCGTCACCAACAGTTGGCACGGTCAAGACGGGTGTTGCTGTGAAGCAAAAAGACATACTCCATTTATCATTCCAATAATACAGTTACACTCCAAATCATCAAATTACTGCATTGATTAATAAACGATCCAAGCAGAAATACTATGCATACTTCTAATTGAAAGATTTCCTTTTTAATGTGAAATTGTTCTCCTCATGAATTTTGGAATGAAGCAATTTCAGCGATTATGTTGGTATTGTTTGAGGACTTTTTGGCCTAGTATAATTAATGCCATGTCGAAATCAATGAACACATTAACAAGTTCAAGTTCACTGCACCATACGAATGTTTACATCATGAACATGTTTTGTGAAACATTTCAATCAATATAGCACCAGCCAAACTAAAAAAACCTATTCGTACTCGGTCGTGTTCGATGTTAACAACCGGGTTTTTGTTTTCGTCTATTCTCGGAAATGGTGAAACAAAATGTTCGCTTACTTTTAACTAGATGTTTGAAATTGGATAAGTAAACAATCGAAATCATTTCTTTCTTTTGGTGGGGGGATTGCAGGACCTAGTACCCCTTTCAATCATATTTGAAAAGGTGTCAATTACAAATAAAATCTTACCGATAACATCGAACGTGAAGTATGCTGATGCCATGCAACCACCATCATTGCTCACAGTGCAGGTTACATTATGGGACCCTACTGGAAAGTCTCCTCCTGTGATTGTCACACTGGTTCCTCCTGCATCATCCGTACAAGTTATTGCTTGACCATCCAAATTGGTGGCGTTCACTTGATCCCATGACACTGGAATTGATGCTTCCCCCGTTGCAATGCACTCGTCACCAACAGTTGGCACGGTCAAGACGGGTGTTGCTGTGAAGCAAAAAGACATACTCCATTTATCATTCCAATAATACAGTTACACTCCAAATCATCAAATTACTGCATTGATTAATAAACGATCCAAGCAGAAATACTATGCATACTTCTAATTGAAAGATTTCCTTTTTAATGTGAAATTGTCCTCCTCATGAATTTTGGAATGAAGCAATTTCAGCGATTATGTTGGTATTGTTTGAGGACTTTTTGGCATAGTATAATTAATGCCATGTCGAAATCAATGAACACATTAACAAGTTCAAGTTCACTGCACCATACGAATGTTTACATCATGAACATGTTTTGTGAAACATTTCAATCAATATAGCACCAGCCAAACTAAAAAAACCTATTCGTACTCGGTCGCGTTCGATGTTAACAACCGGGTTTTTGTTTTCGTCTATTCTCGGAAATGGTGAAACAAAATGTTCGCTTCCTTTTAACTAGATGTTTGAAATTGGATAAGTAAACAATCGAAATCATTTCTTTTTTTTGGTGGGGGGATTGCAGGACCTAGAACCCCTTTCAATCATATTTGAAAAGGTGTCAATTACAAATAAAATCTTACCGATAACATCGAACGTGAAGTATGCTGATGCCATGCAACCACCATCATTGCTCACAGTGCAGGTTACATTATGGGACCCTACTGGAAAGTCTCCTCCTGTGATTGTCACACTGGTTCCTCCTGCATCATCCGTACAAGTTATTGCTTGACCATCCGAGTTGGTGGCGTTCACTTGATCCCATGACACTGGAATTGATGCTTCCCCCGGTGCAATGCACTCGTCACCAACAGTTGGCACGGTCAAGACGGGTGTTGCTGTGAAGCAAAAAGACATACTCCATTTATCATTCCAATAATACAGTTACACTCCAAATCATCAAATTACTGCATTGATTAATAAACGATCCAAGCAGAAATACTATGCATACTTCTAATTGAAAGATTTCCTTTTTAATGTGAAATTGTTCTCCTCATGAATTTTGGAATGAAGCAATTTCAGCGATTATGTTGGTATTGTTTGAGGACTTTTTGGCCTAGTATAATTAATGCCATGTCGAAATCAATGAACACATTAACAAGTTCAAGTTCACTGCACCATACGAATGTTTACATCATGAACATGTTTTGTGAAACATTTCAATCAATATAGCACCAGCCAAACTAAAAAAACCTATTCGTACTCGGTCGTGTTCGATGTTAACAACCGGGTTTTTGTTTTCGTCTATTCTCGGAAATGGTGAAACAAAATGTTCGCTTACTTTTAACTAGATGTTTGAAATTGGATAAGTAAACAATCGAAATCATTTCTTTCTTTTTGGTGGGGGGATTGCAGGACCTAGTACCCCTTTCAATCATATTTGAAAAGGTGTCAATTACAAATAAAATCTTACCGATAACATCGAACGTGAAGTATGCTGATGCCATGCAACCACCATCATTGCTCACAGTGCAGGTTACATTATGGGACCCTACTGGAAAGTCTCCTCCTGTGATTGTCACACTGGTTCCTCCTGCATCATCCGTACAAGTTATTGCTTGACCATCCAAATTGGTGGCGTTCACTTGATCCCATGACACTGGAATTGATGCTTCCCCCGTTGCAATGCACTCGTCACCAACAGTTGGCACGGTCAAGACGGGTGTTG